GAATCGATCTCTTCCTATTTTAACTATTTCTGTGTCTGTCATCTGAGAAAAGCATCTTAAAGGACTGCTTCAGTCTTACTGTTTTTGTCCTGAGGGCTCAGCATCCACAGGAGCAAGGACCCCAGTGAACATTGCGGAACGTGCAAAGGCAGAAACAGCAAGAGGATGGCTGGGCTGTAAACTGGAGGATAAAGGAATGGGCAGGTGCCACCAGGGCCAGGAGGGGAAGACATATTCTTCTTGAAAAGAAGAGCTCGGTTTGGGATGTTCTGACTTGGGGATAAGGTGGCAAACCAAGAAACAAAAATTGAAGCGAGTTCCTGATACAGGTCACTTGTATTGTGGATCTACACCCTTGTTATTGTAGAAGGGCTGAGAGTGGGCTCCAAGTATTTTATTTTCAGGTATCTCTCAGACATCCTTTAATACTGGAATGCCAGGTGGTATTTTATTTATTTATTTGATGTTTTTTATTTATTTTTGAAAGAGCAAGCGAGCAAGCAGGGGAGGGGCAGAGAGAGAGGGAGACACAGACTCCGAAGCAGGCTCCAGGCTCTGAGCTGTCAGCAGAGCCTGACGTGGGGCTTGAACCCACGAATTGCGAGATCATGACCTGAGCTGAAGTCGGACGCTTAACTGACTGAGCCACCCAAGTGACCCCCTCCCTTTCTTCTTTTTTTAAATACCACAGAGTGTGATGCAGTTTTTGACTTAACTGGTCTTCACAGAAAACAGGTACACTTCCACTGTTAATGAGGAGAGGCATCCGAAGGTTGGGGTGAGGAGTGCCAGCTGAGGAGTCCAATTTCTTGGGTTCAGATCTTGCTGCCACAAGGTAACTACTGTGTGACCATGGATGGGCAGCCTACCTAACCGCTCTTTTTCCATATCCTCATGGAGCAGTTGTGAAAATTAAATGAATACGAAAAGTGCTTAGAACAGTGTCTGGTATATGAAAATCAAATAGTTGTTGCAATTCTTCCTTATACATTTTGGTAAGTAGACAGTTTTTAGCCTCGCTATTCTGGAACAAAAGTATAAGCCACAAATCCATGACAAATTTCAAATTCTTAACAAATTAACTTCTAAGTTAGAGTTTAGTAATATCTAGTCAACATGAAAGCACACATTCACATAATACAAACTAATATTCAATAAATTTACAGTTGATGCTTTTTGGACTTATGGCTAAGAACATATGGTGCCATAGCTTGAGAAAATCCATTCTGGAGGTATGGGAGTATCTTCTTTCGCCTAATTGCAGACTCCCTCAGATTTGTCCTGAAAAGCCCATGCACTTTTCCAGCTCCATGGCCTTCGCACCCCTTCCTCTGCTCAGATTTCCCTTCCAATCCATCTGGTTTTCTGAGGCGTACTTCCAGGCCTACTTGAAATATCACTGCCTTACCTTCAGCTGGTCTCTGACCCACCCTGACCCCACCCCAACTGGATAATACATTTTTTAAAACATTTTTGAGAGGAGAGAGAGCACGTATGTGTGCATGCGCACACACGGCAGAGGTGGGGGGGGGGTGGCAGAGAAAGAGGGAAACAGAATCTGAAGAAGGCTCCAAGATCTGAGCTGTCAGCACAGGGCCCGATGTGGGGCTCGAACTCACGAACCGTGAGATCATGACCTGAACCAAAGTCAGATGCTGAACCGACTGAGCCACCTAGGCATCCCCCCTCCCCACAATAATACACTTCTAAGGGTGCTTCCACCAGATCATTACACAGGTAAACAACTAGCATACAATCAGTGTTCTATCTCTTTCTGCAGCCCCCGCATGGCATGGGTCATGTCTTGTTCTACTCCTGGAGCTGAATGAACACCATCATTAAACTCAACTACAAAAACTTTGCCTTCAGAAAAGGGTTCCTCAGTGTTACTCTCAACCCCCCTTCATACCCTGAACACAGGATCAATAAATACCCAACTTTAGTGAAGCACAACCATCTTTTAACTCCACCCTGAGGAAAACAAAATCCCCAAATAGACGGTAAACTCAATTTTCCAATGAAGTAGACACTCGAGATTCCAACAGCTACACCAGGACGCAGGCCTACCCTCCGGGTTTTGTATTTTCAAGCTCCCATGATCAATCACAGGTCAATTCCTTAAAAGTAAATCCGTGTGTTTATCTCACTTGCTAGCTCTGTTTCTTTGGAGAACCAGGACTAACACAGAAATGTATGAGGGAACTGTCCCTGCTTTCTCTGGACTCAACCTTCCCATTTTCACGTGAAGGCCAGCACTTCAAACATCATCTCCTCTTCTTTATCCATGGATCCCCAGCACCAGGATTTCCATCTCTAACGTCAAAGACCCACACTGAGGACTCTTACACAAAGGAGTCCTATCCATTTACATCTTGGAGGCAACATTTGACCAATGGAGGAAGGAACAAAAACACTTCTGGTCACTGTGTGCTTTTCAGAGAGTTCTCCAGGCAACAGGTTTCCCAGCAGGATAACATGATGCTGCCAGCTAGATAAGACTAATTTTACCAAATAATGTTTGTGTTTGTTTATGCATCTTTTCCTACATGGAGGAAAATCAGGTAAGATTTTAACCAAAGTTCAAAGTATAGCCTTCAAATTCAATTCGACATTCAAAGTGGTATGACTTCAGAAAGAACCTTGACTAGTACAAATAAGTATTATAATGGACGGGATCACTAATCAGAGAATTGTCAGACCACACTGAGAAAACTGTTCCGTCATTTAAGGTATTCTGCACAAAACAAAGTAACAAGAGCTGTATGATAAAGTAGCCCTTGGGATGAACGATGGCTCACGAGTCAGGAATATTTCCAGTGGTAGCCATGTTAGAATTGGAAGCAGGTAGAGATTTCATCTGGTCTCCCCAACTTATCACCAGGAAGTGACAGTCACACACAGCATCAGGATAGGAAAAGCCAGGCTTTTCATATTACAACTTAATAACATGGTTTACTTTTTACTACTTGAAACTTAATAACTTAGCTTAAAAGATAATTACTGAACAGGTGAGCTGACATTAAAATGTGAGCTCTCTCAATATCTAATTTCTCTGAATCATGTTCAAGGGTCCATAATATATCCAAATTTATTTCCTTATTGGTTAGCTTTGTAGAAGGCTAGGTAGCATATTGATAACTTCTCTTAACTGAGGAATATTTGAACAGTTTACCTTTTAGGGTGTTATGTAAAATACAAGTGTGGGAGGGATTAATAAAAATCTCATACTCACTTACCTAGAGGACACACACATTTCAGATCTCTGTTCTCCCTGGCACTATCCATCTCAGGCACTGGCCTCTCTACCCAGGAAGAGCACAACCAAGAAACCTACTTCTTTTAAAAAAAAGTTTTTCAGTTTATTTATTTTGAGAGAGAGAGTGCACACAAGGAAGGGAGGGGCAGAGAGGAGAGACAGAATCTCAAGCAGACTCCGCACTGTTAGCACAGAGCCCGATGCGGGGCTCGAACTCAGGGACTGCGAGATCATGACCCGAGGTGAGATCAAGAGTCAGATGCTTAACTGAAGTCACCCAGGCGCCCCATCAAGAAGCCTACTTCTTCAGAAGGTACAGTTTCTCTTTCGGGGAACCTAGGTGGCTCAGTTGGTTAAGTAAGCGTCTGACTTCGGCTCAGGTCATGATCTCCGGGTTCGTGAGTTCGAGCCCCACAGTTCGGCTCTGTGCTGACAGCTCAGAGCCTACAGCCTGCTTTGGATTCTGTGCCTCCCTCTCTGTCCCTCCCCCACTCACACTCTGCCTCTCTCTCAAAAAAAAAAACAAACATTAAAAAAATTAAAGAAAAAAAAGTTCCTCTTTAAAGACCCACAGCAAAGAAATGCATACTAATTCCCCTTGGCCATCTTCAGTCTCGATGGTGAAGCTTGGACAAGCATAACCACAGCTGTCGTGTCCTGGGGCCTATTAGGTCATATGCACTGAGCCTCTAGCATATCTCATTTCACTTAACCGCCCCAGGAGGCACCCATTACTTTGCCCATGTTATATAATAGGAAATGGACACAGAAAAGCATCTTAAATTTTTAGGAGCCATATTTTCATTACACTATGGTGTCTCACAAACTGTCCAGAAGCCCACTCTTGCATCTAATGTATACCACTAAACACAGTTCAGGTCACTGTTCCTGATCCTGAGCCAGGAAGGCCACTAATTTCCAGAAAGTAGGAAGGGAACTTGGTTCTGCTTCTAACTGGCTCTTTTGTTTCAAAGTTTCTTCTTGAGTATTCTTAAACCTTTGTTTCAAAGTCTGTTCATTAAAGAAATTATTCTACTTAGTCATACTTAATTATTCGCATTGACATCATTGGGTCACTGAATCATTAAGAGATGCCTAATGGCCTTTGGTCAGACTAGGAGTCAGGAACTAAAGTTCTAGTCCAGTTCTCTTTTTCTGAGAGCACAACAATCTACCTTGCTATAAAAATGAACATAAAAAAAGCTTAATAACGAGTTTCTTATAGAGGGTAATGAAAACTATGAAATTAGATTATGGTGATGATTGCACAATTCTAGGAATATACTAACTCAGAATTTAAATAAGTGAATCTTAAAGAAAATTATATCTTAATAAAGACGTTGTAAAAAATTTAAAAAAACACGCACTGGAAGAGACTGGATTGGTCAAGTATCAATTTTCTGAGAGAAAGTAACTAAGGAATACTAGTTTTACCGCATCATTTTTGTTCTGGATTTACCTCAATTGTTAACTTGCCTAATTCCTACTATTAAAGTATTAAAAAACAGGAGTAAGCAAACCTTAAAAACTTCAAGACTCCTAAAATCAGGCAATGATGACAGGCTTTGTGAAGGGGAAGTCACAGGCCTCTTAATAAGGCTCAGAAGACATACACACACTTTGAAAACTAACCATTTACAACACCACCTTTTGGAAACCTAATGGAAACCTATTCGGTATTCACAGCAGGAGTTACAAACACATTTAAAAAATTCTTCCCATCAAGAATATAAGGCCTACTTACCTTGTGACAAGGAACCAGGCAATTTGACTGAAGTCTGGAGATAGTCTCATATAAGTTTTAATATGTGGCATAGCATTGCTGCGGCCAGATGTCTCAGCCGACCATTTGCTAGTGACAGGAAAAATATATTACTAATAAGAAAATATAAACCCATCATAATCCTTTTAGGACACTTCATGAAAAGCAAAATCCCGTAATCTAAAAAGTGAGTACACAGTTCTGTGCTAGAACCTGTGGTGTTTTATTAAACTGTTTAGAGAACAGAAAAAAGCACTGTGACCTCTTGGTAGATAGCCTTCCAATCTTTTTTCTGCCACTAAGACTCATATATTCACACACGTATTTACTTCAGTTGTGACTTCAACTGCCCATCTGCATGTCTTGTCTCTTAGGTGGACTGGGAGCTCTTCCAAAGCAGGAATCATGCTCCCACAGTGTATTACTAAGTACAGGCTCAGTACAAGCTTTTTGAAATAAAGTACAAAATGGGAAAAAAGCCAACAAGATGAATATTAGAGCAATGTTGAAAAGCCGGAGGATAATTCAGAAACACTGGAGTCCAAGGATGACGATCATGTAACTGAGTTTGGTTTCTAGGTGTGCAATACTGCAGGACTGAGGTTCTGTGGGGGAGAAAGGACCTACGTCGTGAGGTGACCATCTCTGCTTACAAATTTAAAGAGGATGGTTCCTCATGAGAAGAGACTGAGGCCAGAATTGGGATCAGGTAGACTGTTCTCTGGATCATTAAATTCACCTGAATGAATAGTGAAAAGAGCTCAACATAAGGGAATGTCCTCTGTAGGGAATAACCTCCCAAGAGACCCACAAGGGGACACCAAGTTAGACTGTGAGCTACCGAGATGCAATCTGCCTTTGCTTCCAACTGTGTGGTATGGTGTAATTAACACCCGTTGAAGCAAGCAAGAAACTGGGCCAAGAACACACAGAACAAGTGTCCTGGATGGGCCAAGAACACGCAGATCAAGTGCAACCCTGGAACAAGAGAGGGACAAAAGACCTTCCCTTCACCTGGCCATTCAACCACTGAGCAAACCAAATACTATCCTACATCCTGGAGAAAGCAGTGTGGGTTTCACCCTATGCAAGCTGCAGTCACAGTACGTGCATGTGCCAACAGAAGAATTACATTCTGGAAATACGAGCTACAATGCTGCCAAATCACTAGGTTTTACGCCCGTAACTCATGTACCATTGACAGTTATACTCAAACTAACTTTTTTTAAAAAGGTGCTTACGGGGCACCTGGGTGGCTCAGTCAGTTAAGCATCCGACTTTGGCTCAGGTCATGATCCTGAAATTTGTGAGTTCAAGCTCCACACAGGGCTCTGTGCTTGACAGCTCGAAGCCTGGAGCCTGCTTTAGATTCTGTGTCTCTCTCCCTATCTGTCCCTCCCCTGCTCACACTCACTCTCTCTCAAAAAAAAATAAACATTAGAAAAAAAAAAATGCTGCTTACATAAATTCTAAACTACCCAACATTATCTTTTTTTTTTTTTTTTTTTTGAGTTCCAGTATTTAAATAGAAACTTCACAGGGATAAATTTTACTCTTTGGTATTAAAAACCTATTCCAAATAGTGTTCAAAATCTTGTTTAAATTATTTCTATCACTAACATATGTAGATGAAAAAAAAAACATAGCTACATTATGTAAGGTTCTTTTTTAAAACATCAGACTGACGATAAATAACGTTCTTATTCCTAAAGAAACAATAGCAGCATTCTAAACCAATTACTTACTGAAAATAGGAGTGGAGCCAATTCTGCTTTTCAGCTGTCTGGATGCTATAGGGAAGAGAGCCACCAGCTTTTAAAAGAAAACAAAGTAAGATTTACAGAAAACAACTTGAGGATCCTTCATTAAGAATCTATAGTAAATACTGGAAAAAAAAAAAAACCCAAAACAAAAAACAAACCACTTCCTATTTCATCTCATGGAACAGTACGTGGAAAAAAAAGGTCTATACTTGTCTTTTTTTTTTTTTTTTTTTAATATTTATTGACAGACAGGGCATGAGTATGCTGGGGGGGAGTGGGGGGAGTGGGCAGGGAGAAAGGGAGACACAGAATCCAAAGCGGACTCCAGGCTATGAGCTGTCAGCACAGAGCCTGACACAGGACTCGAACCAACGAACCGCGAGATCATGACCTGAGCCTAAGGCGGATGCTTAACCGACTGAGCCACCCAGGAACCCCAAAAAGGTCTATACTTGTATTAGGTATGCTCCCTCAGTGGGGTTTCCTTTCTTAGGGATACATATAAATGTTTATGACCTGAAAAGAGAAAGGTATTATTTAATCACTCAGGGGTGGTAATTTAACATCTCTAACAGCACAGATTTGAAGTGTTACAAAAACTATATAAAAAATCCTGGCCTATCCTGCAGTCCTCACGAAGGTGAGAAATCCTTGCCCCCACTCTGGTCTGGAGCATCTCCGTTTTGGCCCAAGAACAGGTCACCTGGGGAGGTAGACTAGGACAAAATGCGGTCCTCCTGCTTCCTTCACCTTTTACCCTCTGCCCTTTCTAAGCAGAGTTTGTATTAACATTCGCACAAATGTAATGGAATCATCAATAAAATTAACATGTTCAGTCAACAGTGAAGTTTTTAAAAAGGAATTCTAAAAGCCCTATTCTTGCATAGGAAATAAAGATACAGTTCCAGTGGCACCTGGGTGGCCCATCGGTTAAGTTTCCAACTCTTGGTTTCAGCTCAGGTCATGATCTCACGGTTCGTGAGTTTGAGCCCTGCATGTTGGGCTCCATGCTGACAGCATGGAGACTGTTTGGGATGGTCTCTCTCTCCCTCTCTCTCTCTCTGCCCCTCCCCTGATTGTACACACTCTCTCAAAATAAACTTAAAAAAAAAAAAAAAAAATACAGTTCCAAATGGAAACACAATTAGTAGACTATTTTTGTTCATGTTTTAAAGGCAGAAAGTACCATTGTAGATCCACCAGTGACTTTGCAAACACATATTAGAACTTCCCCATAAGTGGGGCGCCTGGGTGGCGCAGTCGGTTAAGCGTCCGACTTCAGCCAGGTCACGATCTCACGGTCCGTGAGTTCGAGCCCTGCGTCAGGTTCTGGGCTGATGGCTCAGAGCCTGGAGCCTGTTTCCGATTCTGTGTCTCCCTCTCTCTCTGCCCCTCCCCCATTCATGCTCTGTCTCTCTCTGTCCCAAAAATAAATAAAAACGTTGGAAAAAAAAAAAAAAGAACTTCCCCATAAGTAATCTATCTCCAAAGAAAGCTTTAAATTTCTTGACTCATCAAATAAGGCATGTCGATTCCTCTACTGCACAAAACTAAAAACCTATTCAGGACCAGTTATGAAATAGCTTTATTGGAAATACCATGTTTTCCCCCATTAAGAAGTACATTTTGAATGGATCCAACGTATTAGAAGCTGACAAAGGACAAGACAAACCGACACATCACCATGTCCTTGAGTCCTGTTATAATAATTTTGGTTTGGCCATTACGCAAAGCTGATACACTCCAAACCTTACCAAGCCTCTTCTGGCAGAGTTGTATCTAGTATTACAAGCAATAAATGGACTAAATTAGTCTAATTCTGAGCATTCTGCTTCCAGCCACAAGCAAATGCCAATCAGGTTTCCTTTTTCCAGAGGCAAACACTGCTTGGGTTTTTCGTTATCACCTCCTGAATGTGCTATCTGAAGGGCTTCGGATTCCACATAAAAGCTCGCTGTCCAGCACTATGCAAGAGAAGTCGCAAACAAGGTTGAAAGTTGCCTACAAAATCATCCAGACACTTACAGATGAAGTGCTTTAGAAAGTACAGATATCAACTATGTGACACGAAAGGTGCATCCCAAGATTAAGCAGAAGTTTGGGACCTTAAATATATCCGTATCTGGGATTCAAAACTGGAAGAACCACACAGAGCCACAGACACAAGAAGGGAAGATATGGAAAGAGAGATCAGAGAAAGGCATGTTAGAATTTCTCTGGAAAGGCAGGATGCAGCAGGGAAAGGTGGTTTTATTTGTCAGGACAAGCCCCCCACTGCTGGCAGAAGTGACCACCTTATTGTAGAAACGAGAACAGAAAGTACTCCGAGAGTTACTGTTAACCTACCCAAATGGCCCAACTGCATGGTACCATCTTTGGAACATGGCAGTGCTTAGTAGTACGCATTTCTATGATCCTTAGCCAGTTCGGAGAAAATATTCTCTAAATTTCTTATCAGTACTTTTCTCCAGAAGAATGGCATTTTTATTACCCGTGTGAAAAAGTTTACCAGGGCATTTATGAAATAAACACAAAAATTTCAACTCAGACGGTTTCCATTAATTACCGGGATAGCCTTCTAAGCTGGTCCGCACATTTTCCACAGAAGGGTAGATCTAAAAACAAAGGAAAGACAAAACAAACTCATAATGTACGTCAGAGAAACTTTCTTAAAAGGAATGTTTCTAAGAAAATGAAAGTCTCCATTAGAAATATTTCTTTTACAAAATTTGAAAAAGTACTTTAAATTTTAAAAAGTTTCATCTTATGAAAAAATTGAACTTCCAGTCAACTACAGGAAGTATATATATTTGACAGAAAAAAACCACTTCGGTTTGAGTACTCTTCCCTCAAAAATACCAAGTTCACGCAGAGTTTAGTGCAAAATTGTGTATTCAAAAGTCTCTAATACTCATTCTGTTGGCAATGCTTTAGCAACTATATTTTCTTTTGCTTGAAAACCTGAAGGAATGAAAAATCACAGGTTCATCTGTGGCTGAAGCAGCACACTCCCAGCACCAGATGACGCCAGGGCCACCTGATCACCAGTGCTGGTGCTAACGTGCTGCCATTTCCACCCCAGACTCATGGAAGAAAACCTGCATGAGGAGGACGGATTCTCGTTCTTCTCCTGGACTAGCAAACACACACACACACACACACACACACACCCCTGCGGGAAAAGCACTCACCAGATGGAGGGGAGCAGCACTTTTCCCTGGGGTCCTGCTCTCCTTCCCCTGAGTCACCAAGCTTTCTTTAAACTCCGAACACAACCATTTTGATTCATCAGCTCCCATAGAGCCAATGCTTGAAAACTGACCTACTATTGGCCAAGACTCTCCTTTAGGTATAGATGAGGCATGCTCTTTCAGAAGCTGTCAACAGAAAAGGTTTAACAACTCAGAACACAGCTTTCTGTCCTTGGAACGCAATCAATAGAAAAATGCTGAAAATATTAGAGATCAAGTTCATCCTCACACTTTTTCTTCTTTGGAAAATACTCTTTCAGTACTAAAAATATTTTAATGGAGTAGGTGGATAGAAGCATTCTTCCAAAACTCCATGATTTTATTAAAGTAAAACCATTTTTTTTAAAGAAAAATGTAGAAATGTCAGATAAATCACTAGCCTGCCATATGAAATGGGATCTTGCTTTGAAATAACTGTTTAATACTTAAAAAATAAAAGCTATTGGGTATTTTGACTCCTATCAATTGAAAGAGATTTAACACTTGGGCTCCACATGGTGATGCTGTAAAAAAAAAATATGTTTACATATATACAGACCACCTTAAGCACTGCAGGTGTGTGATCTGCAAAGCTACAGAAACAGTTCAAAAACATTTGGAAATTTTAACTACTTAAACACATACAGAGTTATTACCTAGAGGCTGAAGAAAAATGAAGCCCGTATTCTGATGGCTTAGTTTAATATGTAGTATTTTAACACAGCTTAGACATTAATATTTATAAACACACTTGCCCAAAAGCCTAGGTCTCAATTTCTACCCTAAGGCAGCATGGTGTAAGCAACAGGCCCGAACGGTAAGCTCCAGGACCCACTTTCTGTTCTGGTGCTCAGCCCCTCATTGGCTACATAGCCCTGGACGTGGCCCTGCACGTCCACTTACAGGTCAGTGGAACTGAAGTCTGATCATTCCTGTCTTCCCTGGAAGGCAGCTGTGATGCAACATGAGCTTGTGTGTGAGAAATGGTCTGAAAACTCTAAGATGCTCTTTATCTTCCAGGAAGACTGTGATCCTCGACAATGTGTACAAGAATCTAGCCTGTCGCAACCATCAGTCCACAAACTGGTAACCACTAACCAGCACAGTGAACGTTCAATGCAGGCCTTGCGTTCTCTATTTCGTCTTACCCTTGCAAAATTCTGTGTGAGGTATTGTTATTATACCCATTTTATAGACGAGAGTCAGGTCACAGGACTTGTTCATAGGTGAGGATTTGAGCCCAGGTATGGGGATCTACCTCAAAGCTATGGACTTAGTAGGCTCTAATGCCTTCTCTAGGCTTCAAGACCTCACCTGCTTGCAGCTGTGGTCTCATTTCAAAAAAGCAAATTAAAGTGTCATTAACCAAGGCTAATTCTCACATGACAAACAGTTCACGGAAAAAGGTGAAGCTTTTAAGAAAGCCACTTCAGGTTCATTAATGTCAGTACTACATCTCCTAAACAGAGATGAAGAAAACCTTAATGTTTAACTTGCTTGTGGTTTTAATTTGGTGAAGACTTTTCTTTGTTCATTTTCATAGCAGCAGCAAATGCCACTTTTGTCGTTAACTCTTACAGGGACTGGTTAGTAAACAAAATACACGCTAGCACAGCTGTAGCCTTTACTCAATAGTATTTTTCTGTTCTTGGTTGAATTTGTCATGTTAAAAATCCTTTACATGCTGACAACAATCCAAAACTACAACAGCTGAATAAACGAGAGGTCTCTTTATGAAATAAAAACTAACAAAGTCCTTATGCTTTTGCCATTTACAGCAGTCTACACTTCTAAAAGAGGCAGCAAGACATTGAGGAGCAAGTAATCACCGAGAACTACAATCAACTGATCAAGTTCACTCAGAATTGTGCTATTATGAAGCTGCCATCAAAATGTAATTATAAAGGAAAAATGTAAGTTAAAAGAACAAGTTAAAATAGTAAAAATTCTGTTACCTTCCTAAGCCTAAAATGTCCCCAATTATCTTTCTGACTTCCTTGAAAGCGTCCTGGGGTTGATCCAATAAGATAAACACTAAAAGGATATAAAATGCAAGTTAATAGAGCACAGTGATGGGATTTGTAGACCCCCAAATCACAAAATACACGTAAAACTAATGTAATCACGAAATGTTCTGAGAGACCACCTATTTTCTTCAGATGCCTCCTCAGAATAGTAACTGATACTCAAATGGATCTTCAAGAACATCAAATCATGGTGGAACATTCACAAGGTTTAAGGTACCAGGCAAAGAAATAAGTGACTTTCAGATACTCCAGAGGGAGGCTGATGGTGAGCACGAAGATTTACTGGCATCCACTTCAGTGCCTCAGATCTAGGAGACACAGACACAGAGACAATCTGCTCTCATATTATTAAAGGACAGCCAAATACCATTCTACCTCTTTCCAAGACCCTTGCAGTACAGACACCATGTGGCTCTCAAGGTATTCACCTACTTTAAGAACCCCAAATTGCTAAACGATACGTACTTGGTTTCAGAGAGATCATGCTCGTGGATAACATCTATCCACTCCTTGAGAGAAGGAGCATTATAAGCCATTAAGTAGCTGATAAGATCGGCTTTAAAATGTGTTGTCGAGTCTCCAGGTCTGTGGGTTCCGTGGACAACTCGTGGGTATAAGGGGCTCAACCATATTCTGGAACAGAAAAAAACAACAGGAATGCAACTGAACACAATGGTATCGCGTGCTGACTGCACATTCACCCTAAGGAAGAGGCAAATCTCATCGGCTGTGTCCACACGGTAAGTAGATGGATCCTGAGGAAACAGGAAGCACAGATCCCCTCACACCCACTCCAGTGGCTTCCATAGTATTCAGAATGCTTCTCAATTTAACACCTCACTATGAACTTAGGAACCCAGAATATTTGGCCTCTGCCCACATCTCACAACTGAATGCTCTATGCTTCCTCTCGCACCACACCGTTATTCTTTGCCCCCAGCCCCACCTCTGTACTGCTAAGGCCTGGTGACAACACAGGTGATAGCTCTTCTAGTTGCTATAGTAAATCCACACCACCTGTGGTGACCCAGCAAGCTACACCAATGCAGCTCTTCAGCCAAACGGAAAAGTCATCTACATGAAGAAAAATGTGTATACAAATCCGATTTTAGTAAGGAAACTCCTTTTCATGATGTATATGCTACAGCAGTTGGAGATATTTTCATATCCTGTACTCTCCTGGTGTCTGGAAGGAGTGACGCCACATTTAATGATACTACGTTTACACTGACCTCAGACTTTCAAATTATCTAGTGAGCAAAATATTAAACACATCTTTCATCAATTCTCTTCAAAAGGAAAACAATGCCCTTCTCCCAAACTTATATTACACCCACAAGTGGGAAAAGCGTATCTAAACCCCACCCTTCTGTGAAGTGCTCCAGGACAGATCACAGACAAGTATGGCTTCAAACCTCTTGTGCTCAGTTTCAACTGCAAAACCACGTCAGCCGTCCTGCCTCACAGGACACGTGTGCTTCACACCGGAGGTTATGACCAACGTCAGGCTTACCCAAGTACTGAAGATCTATTTGCTGTCCCTGCTTTTCCCCTCCAGCAGCTATCCCACTGAGCCATATTTAATCCATTATCCCATTAAGCCCAAAGAGAAACTACCCGATTTCTTTCACCGGCAGCCCTCAAAGGAGACCGGCGAGACGAAGGCCCCAGGGCAGGAAGCATCCAGAACCGCAAGGACCCTGGCTGCATGTCTTCTGAACTCTGCATGTGTTTCTGGCAGGGTAGCAGGTCATACCTTCCCTTCCCACCTCAAGAAGACCCCTTGTACAAGGGGTAACACGTGTGACAAGGACTGTAGCCCAGGTTCTGGGGCCAGATCTGGGTCATCTGGGGTCAGGCCAAGGCCTTCCGGGAGCACCTGCCTCTCTGTGTAAAATGAGCCCACTGGGCTGGATGAAGAAGTCTCTCTGTCACAAATAGCAATTCAGAGCCCACAACCTGGTGGGCTCCTCCCAGATTAGAGGTTCACTCTCTGGTGTCTGGGTGGATGAGGAACTTGACAGATGACAACTTACTAACCCAGGATACTGAGATGCAAAGTGTTTTTAGCACTTTACCAAGTAAGATGTGAAATCATTATGGCCAAATAATTTTAAATGTGAGAAATTAACAGGCAGACCAAGCAGCAGCTGAAAGGGTGGTTGGAACACCTGTATAGCAGAAAAGGATCAGCAGAGTGTTACTAGAACCATCACGAAGGTTACACAAAAGGACTGCTTTTAAATATCTTACAAAAATTACAACCCACAACACAAAAATGCAAGTTTGAGAGACCAGAACCTAGACTAAACATAAGGTAACATTACCCTACTCAGAGGTGGTGGGCAGAGGGAAGTTGAAAGATTTCATACTCTTGGTACTTTAACTTTTAAACAATAGAAACTATTACCTGGCCAATTTAAAAAGTTAAATGAAAATAAAACTATTTTTTTAGAGAAAATTTTATTGTCTTTAATGTTCATTTTTAGAGCGGGAATCCTCTATATATCCAATATTTTGGAGAGACCCAGGATCTGAAGCAGGCTCCAGGCTCTGAGCTGTTAGCACAGAGCCCAATGTGGGGCTCGAACCTACCAACTGTGAGATCACAACCTGAGCAGAGTCAGACGCTCAACCTACTGAGCCACCCAGGTGCCCCCAAAAAATTTTAAAGGAAAAAAATCCGAATACCCAAATCCTTATCCTTAATCCATTTCCCCAGAGCAGCCATCCTGGAGAGACCTAAAGAACATGGCTCAAGCTTCTCACTCCAAAATAAGCTGGAGGCCACAGGTAGGATTATTTGAGCCACACAGGCCAACTTCACAAACTCCGTATGACTCATGGGTTCAAAAACCCAACCCAGCAGCTCAGAAGCTCTAGGAGTGGCAAAGGCATAGTTGACCTCAAACCCAGTGGCTGAGGCTTTTACAGACCATGGGGATGCCCTCCACCCTGAACCAGTTGGAATTAAAATATGCTTCTCAAGATGCAATTAAGTGGGACACTCAGAAATTAGAACACGTTTACAAGAGAACTATCAGGCACTGGTGATGGGGCTCTAAGCCACTTGCCGTGGCGGGGAAAGAGTGAAGAGAGAGAACTAGGGATGTCGGGCTCAGGGAAAAGCCTGTCTTTCCAACTTGAAGGCAGTGAAGGGAGAGAGGGTACCATTGTTCTACATGGCACTGGGGTTGAAGCAAACCCATAGGATGGAGGCTGGAAGGTCCTGTATTTCAGTTCAACCTACAGTGTGACTTGGGCTCTGCCAGAGCTAAGAGCTCTAGCCCAGCCTGGGCGGTGACAGGGAGGACGAGAAGGCAGAGGAGGAGAGTGAAGGACACGCAGACCCTGGAAGAGGCCAGATGAATCTTGGACTTTCTTCTAACCCCAGAGAAAGCAGAGATGTACAAAATGACGTAAACAAATGGAAATCAAAGCCAGCCACAATCAAGAGTTTACCAAGAGGAAGAATAGTTAGAAGTTGATTTGGGCAAGTTACTAAGTAACAGAAAAAAAACCAAGCTCCTCTTTTAAAAAGAACTCAAAAGACCAGATCTAGCCTGAGTATACCAAGGACAGAGTTGGTAACAAAAACACAAAAACCAAAGAACAACAAAAAAGTCAGTTTTTCCTCTTGGAGATTCACAACTATATGAACCTATTAAAGGCTCTAAAAAGATATCAATTTAGCTTTCTTTTATGGAAAAATAAACTGGGGATGAGGAGAAGTTTTCAGCATATGATTAACCATGAAGCTTCCCTTCAATACCATTTGGGAAATGACAAGCCAGAGTACAAGTGGGGAAAAGGGTTAATGGAGACCAAGGAAGTTACTGATAGGTCTCACCAGAAAAATAATGGGTTCAGACCTTCCATTTTATACTGTCTTTCCTGCCTCAGATCCTTTGCACAGGCTTGCTCCCTGTGCTTGGCTGTTGAGTGTGTAATCCCATTCAAAAGTACATTTACATATATATTAGTCATGGATGTGTATGTACTAAACTGTTAACACCCGTTACCTCAAGAGAGTGGAGCTGAGGAGAGGTAGTAAAATACTATTTCTGTGTAGGTCTCTTTTTTATGCCACATGTGTGGGTGTTTTTTTGTTTTTTTTTTTTTTGTTAAACACAATAGCAGAATAAAGTGAATGCCACCCACAGCCACTGCCGTGAAGTAAACAGAAGTCCACAAACCCCTGAGTCTTCTGATGCCAGTCAGCATGGATGAGGTTAGAGGTATGTATGACAACCCGGAGGCCTTCTTCGTACAGCAGTAACATCATTTTCCTTTAAAAACAGAAGAGAACAAAGGCATTAACGCTACTTTCAAAACATGTACTATTTTTCAGTGCAAATATCATGGCTAAAGGAATTTTTAAACTCTTCTGATCCTCAAGCTTCTAATACTTATAATCTTCATTTCTTCTACACATTAAAATCCAAGTCTACTTAAGTGGTGGGTAGAAAACCACCTTCCAAAATGCTCTGAGTATTGACAAGTAAACCTTTGCTATGTCCCACCCACATGGCCAATCCTGAGACTTTGAGCCCTTCCCCTCCAGTCTGGCCCTTTATCTATTCAGCATTATATGCTACTATCTGGGACAATGGGAATCTTCTTGTCCGGTGGTTTTCAAAGTATGGTCACCATCTCCCACTACATCATGGCTAGCATTTTTTAAGAAATGGTAATCAAGTTAGAAATTCTAAAATACAGCGTAGATAATTAAGTAACTCTTGTTTCAGCACAGGAGTATGGACATGTGTAATAGACTGAAATGTACATGGTCTTTTCTAATGTGGGATGGACTTTAAATGCTTCACTGTCCTAGGACTGACATTTTCTCACACTCCACAGATGCTACACTTCTTCACCAATGTGCCTAGCCTGAAATAAGGCTTTCCTGTTCTTCATTTACTCAAGTCAGACCCAGGTGAGTCCTCCCTTTGCCGTAGGCCTTCCTTCCCCAGGCCTCCAGTCATCAGAGTTCTCTTAATTCCAGCAAGAGAAGGAACAGGAAACAAACCGCTTTCTATTTGAAGCTGGGAGACTTTAGCTCCATTCATCAGTTGGAGACTGTATGATCCTAAGAAGTCATTCAGTGTACCTCAGTTTTTCAATTACAAAGTGAAGGATCAACCCCTTCCTTGCTGTGGTGTTGCTGCGAGAAGAAAATGTAACTAACATGCATTCTTGAAACCAACTCTCCCACAAGTGTATTTCCACGACTCCTTCGTTGCTTTATTATGTCATCTACTACTACTTCAGGAGGGTTCCTGGCTTCCCAATGGTTTCCTAATCATTTCAGGAAACTAAGTTCTCTCAATATAACTAGAGACTCCTCAAGGCAGTAGCTCCACCTTCTATGCATTGGGGCCAAAATGCTACTCAATACCTACTGATGTCAGTTCAGGCATGGGGGGCAAAATGGACCACTGGTTCTCTCCAAATAACGTGAATACTTGGACAGGATAGGGCCAGCATAAGAAGGTATGGCAAAGAAAAGAGGAGATACATAGCTCTGGGCAAAATGAGAATTTAACCCAAGCCAGCAAACAGTAAGTTAACGCAAAGCTGGAGAACTGACAGCTGCTGAACCAATCTTTCCTCCATTTATGAAACGTGCTCCCCGAAATCTGGGCAGATTTACATACACAGTTGCCAAGTTAGCAGCTGACTGTAATTAAGACGACGACCAGTTATGAATTCAAGATGGAAGTTTCACAAATATTTCCATTAATCAAGGCATCAATTATCAGGAAAATCATGTACTGCTGTCAGCGAATCCCACCCAACAGAATCCTGAACTAATCTGAGGGGACCCAGATCCTCCTCAGACAAAATGGCATAAACTAATAAAATCACGAAAATGGATAAGGTAGAAGAAATGAGAGCACCCTTGGAGAAATGCTGACCTACATACTATCTGGTAAGTTGTGGGGGAAGCAAAAGGGACAATTCCCCAATCTGAAACCGTTCCTGTAAAGGGGCGAGATGACAGAGCTATGCAGAGCCCGTGTGCCAGGACTTCCAGAGGCTCCACAGCACAGTCCTCACACCCGTCCTGGAGGCTCTCGCAGTCTTCGCTTGCAACTGCACAGTCTATGGCTAGAAGGTAACGGGAATGATCAAGGTTCCCCAATGAGTCCAAAGAGCCTGTCTGGATCCCCTGTGCCTGGATCACCTCACTGGGCGTGGCTTCAACAGGGAAGAACGGGCCACAGATCCTTCACACAACCGGTGTGTGAACGGACGGCTGGCTGGGACAGTGTGGTCTAGGCAAGATGAAGCAGGAAGTCACGTGTGCCGGGAGGCCTGGCTACAGCTGCCAGCAGAGAGAGGTGCCCTGCCCACCCCACAATCTGCCACTGGCTCCCAGTTAGGTGGAGACATTCACTGGCCAGCTGCTTTGGCTGCCCTCCTTCCCTGCTATGGATTCTCAGGGCCAGAGGCATTTTTCCTCCCAGCTCTGGGGGACTTTGAAAAGCTCCCGAATTCTAAAGCACTGGGTGGCAGGCCCTGGGACTGCGTGGCATCCTACAGAAACCTGGAGCAAGCATGTTTACTGTACCTAACAGGACTACGACAGGGGCTACATTGTGGTCCTCTCCAGATGCCTTGTGCACAGTACATGGTCAATGCATGCTTGCTGAAGTGAATGTCATCTCAAAGACGATTTCCTGTTTACTGTGGTAACCACACACTGTCAAGTTGGGGAGGCACTTTATACCCCAGCACCACACAAGCCGGAAGGTTTCCTCTGTTTCTAAATCCTAGGTTTTCCCCTCTCTCACCAAAACACTACGAGCTGCGAGAACTATTAAGTCCCAAGACACGAGAACCATATTTCAGTATGACAGGTATTTAATGAATGCCTGAAAAACTTTTTCTTAAAGTTTATTCATTTTGAAAGACAAAGTGAACACACAAGCAGATAAGGGGCAGAAAGGAGGAGACACAGAATCCGGAGCAGACTCTACACCAGGAGGGCAGAGCCTGATGCAGGGCTTAACTCATGAACGGTGAGATCACAGCCTTAGCCAAGATCAAGCGTCACATGCTTCGCTGACTGGGCAACCCTGGCATCCCTCTTTAGAATTTTTTAAATGAGCCACTGAAAGTCACTAAGACCCGAGTTAAAAAAAAAAAAAAAAAAAAAAGACAACTTTAATCTCCTAGAGATACTGGCATCTTAATATAAACTACACAGACCATGTGTCTGGGAAGGGCTCTGCTGTCATTACTTCTCTAGGCATTTACAACTCCAAGTGAGCAACTCTGTGGAGTGTAACCTGCTAAATGTGTATGTGTGTAGCGGGGTGGGGGGGAGGGATGAGGAAGGAAAAGACCAAAGAAAAAAATGAGGTCAATTTTAGCAGTGAACAAATGAGAATTAAAACTTAAAATGGGTTTGGGACACCTGGGTGGCTTCATCAGTTAAGCTGCCAGCTTGGAGCCTGCCTGGGATTCTCCTCTGCCTCTCCCCTGCTCACTCTCTCAAACTTACAAAAAAAAAAAAAAAAGGAAAGAAAAGAAAGGAAGATGGAATTCGCAGGCTCCCCGCCTCCTGAGTGTGCAGGTGCAGTGTGATGATGCCCATGAAATGCCAACTGCTGGCAGAGAACATGTGGCCAGGGCAGAAAGCTGGCACTAAAGATCTAGTAAATCACGTCCAGGGCCCGAGTGAGTAACACTATTTTAGAATCCGTATTTAATGCTAGGGTTCCAGCTAAGGGCAATGGACTAGGATCCATTTGGCGCAAGCCATTACTGGTAGAATTGTCTACCCATGACAGGGTGACACCTGCCATCCACCACTCGGGTCTCTCATGATGCAGGGCGGGGAGCCTAAGATGCCTATTCAGTCTATTCGAGGCTATTGTCTATTTTTTGCTGAAATTAGCACTGAGCTCACAGGATGCTATAGGAGTAAATTTATACCTGAGCTAAATGCTTAAGTTCACAATAATCCTCAAACCCTGTCCTGTTAGAGGCTACTGATTAGGGATAGTTGGTAAATAACATTTATCCAAGGGCATCTAAGAGCAGATAATGTAGGGCCGATATGTATCCTCTTAAAAAATGGCTCCATTTGGGGCGCCTGGGTGGCGCAGTCGGTTAAGCGTCCGACTTCAGCCAGGTCACGATCTTGCGGTCCGTGAGTTCCAGCCCCGCGTCAGGCTCTGGGCTGATGGCTCAGAGCCTGGAGCCTGTTTCCGATTCTGTGTCTCCCTCTCTCTCTGCCCCTCCCCCGTTCATGCTCTGTCTCTCTCTGTCCCAAAAATAAATAAAAAACGTTGAAAAAAAAAATTAAAAAAAAAAAAAAAGGCTCCATTCTTCCTGCTATGGTTCCATTTTAAGATAGATTGTATGCTTCAAACTGTATTTTGCCAAAGAATGGTGAACAGACGTCCTTATTTCAAGTCACCATAACATCAAGAAAACAATGGTCATACCAAGACTGAGGGCTAATTCCTCTTAGGAGATTGCTTGCCGCCCTAGAGACTGATACCTGAAGGAATACATCTGCAACACCAACCCATTTCCACTGCTGGTCTAGAAGAGGCGGCTCTGTCCTGTTCTTTTGAAAACGCTTTCTAGCAAAATGTGATTTATACAAACAGGGACAACCATATCTTTTTCTTATTTATAGAATATGTAAAAAGTCTCTGCAAGAGTTAAACTGATCATTAGACACATTATGTCAGGTAGGAAGTAACAAGTTTTTCTTGTCTAGTTTATAAAGTCTCAAAATTATTCCAAAACGAGTTTCTGATAGCGCTTGAGCAGAGATGGCATCAGCTTCTCCTGTCAACTTTGTAGAATAGTTTTTCTTTACATCACAGCTGACCTAACAATATTCTATTGAATGCAACTCAGCATCTTAAGCAATCACCAGACCTTTTTTAAGTTGTGGAATCCACAGGAACATGACTGACACGTACAGTCATCCATAACCACGGACCACACAACCATAATCTATTCCCCACCCCCCAGCTGGCTGTAAGAAATGCCCTAAACAGAAAGAAAGCAGAGACTGCATCATGGATTCAGACTTTCATGTTGAGAGCCAGAATCCAAGGACTTTGTCTTGAGACAGTGAACAGTTCCAGTCTCTTTCTTATTGATAGCTTTTTTCCCCCCTGGCAAAACTGTCAGCCCTAAGTTCCTTTAAGGGCACTTTTAGAAAAGCATCCTTTGCTCTACTAAAATCATACCCTCCCCATTTAAAAAAAAATTTGCTTACGTGTGGTGTGTTCCAAATGCAATATCCAACTTTGCCTAGGATAAAAAAAAGAAGTTGAGTCACTTTTAATAAACTCAATATCCCTATCTATTGGAAATTAAGTTAGAAAAGATTCAGGACAACTTTGTTTTTACTGCCCTCTAGTGGAAAGGCCCTGGATTGACAATACAACTTTGAATAATCCTATCCAGTGAGGCTCATTAAAGTTAGCCAGAATGATTTTATACATACTGCATTTTATCTTTTTTTTTAATTTTTTTTTCAACGTTTATTTTTGGGACAGAGAGAGACAGAGCATGAACGGGGGAGGGGCAGAGAGAGAGGGAGACACAGAATCGGAAACAGGCTCCAGGCTCTGAGCCATCAGCCCAGAGCCCGACGCGGGGCTCGAACTCACGGACCGCGAGATCGTGACCTGGCTGAAGTCAGACGCTTAACCGACTGCGCCACCCAGACGCCCCCATACTGCATTTTAATAAAGTATTTTGAGACAGAGCATGAATGCACAAGAGATGGGGGAAGAGAGGGGGAGGGGGTGGGAGGTGGGGAGAGAGGGGGAGGGAGGGAGGCAGGGAATCCCAAGCAGGTTCCATACTGTCAGCACAGAACCCAATGCAGGGCTTGAACTCATGACCAATGAGATCATGACCTGAGCCCAAATCAGACACTTTCACTGAGCCACCCACCTGCCCTGATACATACCACGTTTTTAATTACAATAATCAGAAACAAGAAGCCTGATTTCTTTAGTTGAAAACAAAAAACAACAACAACAAAAAAAAACAGGCAAAACAAAACAAATGAGAACCTATGCAAAGTTTTACAATTAGATATCTGGTTTATACAGAAATTAAAGTTATCAGAGTTTCCAGAGTATATTTAAAAGAACTAATATGGTAGCAGCACACATTATCATGTTAAAAGTTGTCTTCTATTGGTAACATAGCAAGTGCTGAAAAGAGGTAACAATTTTCCTATTACAAAATGGTACCTTCACAAATAGGGGTATTAAATTTAAATTTAAAACATTTTAACACCCAGTATAGCAAGACCTTAGTTAAGCAGAATATGCCCCGAGATGTAGGCCATGAAAGAGTTAAACAGAAAGGCCCCAACAGTGAGGAATGCAGGTGGGACACAGATTGCATCTTCACAACTTTGCAAGACTTAAATCTCTAAGCCTCATCTTTTAAGTCTTTCTTCTCCTCTTTAAAATAAGGATACTGTTAGGGGATTCAGAATTTTAGGAGTAAATGACAATAACATGAAGTGCCTGGAAGAGAGGGCCTGAATGGGGGAAGCACTCTACAAATGGAAGAAAATACTATTAAAATCAAGCCCTCCACCCCAATAGGGCAGATGTGTGGACCTGTTTGCTGGAGGCAGAAATGGGCAACTGGAACACACAAGTGAGTAGGACACAGCCTGTCTTGGGGTTGCTCAGACAGGTGGCCCCGCTCCGTACACTTTTAAACTCCATGTTTAGGGATGCTCACAGACCAGAACCCATTTGTGTGGTCTGCCAAAGATGACAGGGAAAACAATAGGTCTTTAAAATTACAAAATTAGAATGAGGACTACTTCTCTGTAAACTGATGATTAGCTCAGAAAGAGCAATGGTCGGGAGACTTGGCTTTTGAGTTTAGTTTTGCCGTAAGTTGTTGCCTCTCTGGCAAAATTTTAGTACAAGCACATGGATGATAATTTCAACAGGTAATAGTTAATGGGGCAAATGCACCAAATCCTTGGCTCAACAACCTAGTAAAGAAGACTATTAGCAATCCATCCTAAAGATGAACAAGTCAGGCTTGAAGAGGTTAAGTGATAGACTCCATGACGGTAGGTGGAGAACTGGGACAGAACCCAGGCGATATGACCTTGACCACCATAAGGCCTCAACTTCTGGCCCAGGCCCCACATATGCAAAATGTGAGTATCTGTTGATTCTGTGCCTGGTATGCCTCCATTTCATCAAATGACACTATGTTGCCAAAAAAACAAAATAGCCAAGAATTCATCTTATAGACAAGGTATAACGGTATTTTAACAAGTTATGATGGGGCCACAATCCTACACTTCAGACTAGAGCTGGGTGGGACCTTCTGAACAGCTCTTTGCAAGAGGTAAAGAACACAGTGGGTCGTCATGCCCTCTAGTGGCCGGCCTGGTACACACCACCAGACATGCCCCACACCTGAACTTTCGTCATTAGGTACCTCGTATTTGAAAAACACTTTCTATGTCCACTGATTTCATCACTGGTTTTTAGGATTCCTTTGTTATTTTCTGTCCACTATTAATCTGATGAGAACTATCCTACTGCAGTTTAACCTCTTCTTGTTTTGGAAGCATAAGCACAACAATGGGATTTTACGCAACTTCGTAGCAGAGGCTTATCTATGTAGAAGGTGAGCCACCAACATGTTGGGTAAAGGAATGCCGGTTTTAAAATTCCAACTGTAGAAAGTACGGTGGGTTATATCACAGGAAAAATGAGACAGGTTCCAGATTGATCAGATTGAGATTTCTCACTTTCAATGTTTAAAAATAACCACATATGCACAGGTAACATTTTGTAGTTGAAACATTAAAAGGAATTGGAACTCTTACATTTTATACGGACAAGAGAAAAGACACTGGAAAGAAAATGGGAAAAAAAATAGGTTCTATGTAGTTCACTCTGGTCAGTGCACTCCAAGAGCAGAAATCTTCAGGCAATTTTACCATGGCAGGGAGACAAAGGGGCTTATGGGAGGGTCTTATCACAGCTGTTCACAAACGGACTGATGAGCCTCCTGAATAGCAAAGGCCAACATCACACCAGCCACTTCAGAACCACTATTTCCACAAGAAGGAAATCCTACTATGAAAAATGCTTGCTTCTCTCTCCCCAGTTTGCCTGCTTCTTGCATGAAGTGCCACACGTAATATTCTTTCAGGCATGGCATCAAAAGCAACCAGTTATGATCAAAGTCCAAGACTTACATTATATTTTTACGTACTGGCTGAAAAGCATTAGGACAGAATTAAGGAACTGTATCAAGAACCTGGCCAACTTTTTGGCCTTTTCTGCTTTGCTTTGGTCCCAGTGAACCAAACAGATATACCTGTTACAAGACCACTTAGTGTCCCCTCATTAAGTTTGGATCATTTCCATCACGACTCACACAGCTAGTTTTTTAACAGGCTTAATTTGTTCATCTGTCCAGTATAGACCTTGGATGCAATTCAGGTGGAAAATTTGAGAGGACTACAGGTCAACTGTCAGCAGCAGCTAATACCAGTCAGATAAGTCGTCAAAATAAAAAGTTTCAAGTTGCACTCACAGAAAACAACAGCCACTGAATTGCATCCAGATAACCTGGTCAGGTTCGAGGACACTGGCAAACTAGATGCAAACAGGAGTACCAGCAGGTTGGGGAAAGATTGGGATTGTTACAACTAAAGAATGCTTGAACCTGAAAGAAAACTAAGGTACAATGGAGAACTTTAAATACAAACATCAGTCACCTCTGCAAGAAGATTTCTTTTATGTGGCTCCAGAGATGGGAAGTCAGGACCCACGTATAAAAAGTAAAAGGAAATGCTGAGGATTAAATTTTCTGTGTCAACTTGGCTAGGTCACAATACCCACACATTTGGTCACATGTTGCCATGAAGGTATTTTAGATGAGGTTAATAGCTTTAATATTGTGAAGTTTTTGTGAGAGAGAGACAGAGTGCAAGTGGGGGAGAGGCAGAGAGAGAGCGCATGAGAGAGAGAGAGACAGAATCCGAAGCAGGTTCCAGGCTAAGGGCTGTTGGCAGAGAGCCCAAAGTGAGGCTCTAACTCACAAACTGCAAGATCATGACCTGAGCCAAAGTCAGACACTCAACTAACTGAGCCACCCAGGCGCCCCTAGATGAGGTTAACATTTAAGTTAATAGACCAAATGCAACAGATTACTCTTTGTTTGGGACCTCAACCAGTCCGTTGAAGGCCTAAGTGAAGGACCAACTCCCTCAAGGCAGAGAGAATTCAGTCTCCAGACTGTCTTTGGACTTAAGCTGTGGCATCTACTTTTCTCAGTCTCCAGCCTGCAGGCTTACCCTTACAAGATCTGGGCTTGCCAGGCCCCACAATTATGCGAGCCAGTTCTTCTAAAATAAGTCTTTCTGCACAAACATACCCTATGGGTTCTGTTCCTCTGGAGAACCTAATACTGAGATACCAGGTCAACATAAAGAAATATCCTTCCAACACAGGGCTACCCACACACAAGACAGGTTATCCCAGGAAGGCTTTAAGCCAAGGCTAGACAAGTATCCGTTGGTGATGGAGAAAAGATTCTTGCCCTTAGATGGGTGGACAGACTCCATGTCTACATGTCCTTCTAACAGAGTAAGCATGATTGCAAACAGAAGTAGCTCACCTGGCAGAGGGAAATGTTTTCATAAGGCTTGGCCTGGGCATGTAAGTGAGCCTTGGCTTCTCGTTTATCTCCATGCACAAGCAGGATTGGTTTCTTCCTGAAAGGAGATCAGAAATATTTAGAATACATCTTTTCTAAAGCTGGACTCTTGGCCAGTTAAGGAATGCTAGTTTCCTTACCACACGTTTCTGGCCTTAGTGGTAGCTGAGTACGGAGCTAACTGAGGACAGAGCTAACAGAGTACTAATGAGTTAATCTTCACTAACCAGTTACCTTTACAATGGGGTCATGTGGCCTGATCCCGAAACTCTGTTGTAACCCAGAGATGTTGTGACTCCAGAAAATTCCTAATTATCATCTTTGGTCCAAAATAACACAGTTTGCTCTGTATTCATGGGTTCAGGCTTAGACAGATTAAAAGATAAACAATTATTGTTATCTAGTATGATGCTCTTTTCTTTCCCTTCTTTGGACCAAGTCAAAGAGCATTTCCTCATTAGACTTCTATTTACTCAACTCCTGTGTACTAGGTACTATCCTAGTCCTGGGAGATACAACAGTGAACAAGCCCAGGCCCACGGCATGATGCAGACTCATTAAGAGGTGGTTATGTTTCAGTGAAACAAGGCATCATCTTGTGGCCAAATGCAGCTCAATGAAATTTAAGTGTTGTGTGGGACTTCTAGGAGGCTGCTCAGAGGGAGCAGAGCTGGGATGTGGCCCTTTTGTCCTTTTTCCTTCCTGCCACTTGGAACACAGACCGGTGACCTGGAGCTCTGGGTGCCATCCTGGACCATGAAGGCATCTGAAGACATGCACCAGGATGGTGGGACAGAAAGAATGGGTGGCTAAGTCCCTGAGAACCACGGCAGCCCCCAATCCAGACCACGAATGTCTACCATCTAGACTTGTTAGGCTGGAGAAGTTATTTCCTCTCATTTAAGCCACAGTTATTTTTGCTTTTCTGTGACATCCAGCTAAAACTAATTCTTTGTGTCACAGGTCAAATACAAGCTTTTGATGGTCCAAGCCACTTGGGAAATTTCAATAGCATTTTATCTACTATTACTAGAAGTCTCCAGAATCTAATGTCCTAAATGCACCAAGGACTTTGAGGACCCTTACAGTCATTTTCCTGTAGGAAAATTCCTACATTCCTCCATTCCACCTGCTGCTATGGGACTCTGCTAGGTGAATGTCAGAAACAAGACAGGTGGCAGGTCACTGTGTGATGCTATCTTTATTTTGTTTGCACTAACACCAGGCTAAGGAACCATGAACAACACTGAAAAATCCATCACTTCCATAATCTGGATAAAGGAAGGTTCTAAGACTCCCTTCATTAGCTCCTCAACTACAGGAATCATCATTTGCAAAGCAAAGATTCTTTGAACACTGCTGTGCTAAGTGCAGCATGGCATGCTTCCAAGTCTAGAAAGCAGGTCGCAATGATCTTTTCCTTCACACTAATGTCAAAGTTCTCTTATTTAGGTTGGCATTTGTCCTTCTGTGCTTCTGGACACAACAAGACAAATGCAAAAATTTGTATTAGGAATGCATGTGATTAGTTAGAAGAGCTCAACAAATGCTGTTTTCCCTACATAACTCTGATTTTGCATGCTTAATAGTTTCAAAAGATACTCTAAGATGAACAGCAGTTGCTTGAGAAATGCTAATCTTGTGTTTTAATGTCCCATTACAGTTACGATTTTATCAGTCATATTGTGGTACTCACCTGAACTGTGGTGGATACTGTTTTACGAGCCAGTCCACATCAAAGCAGTAGTTAAACTAGGCAGGGAAAGAAAAGGAATGGAGTTATGGGTAATTCAGCCAAGCAATCTGTAATAAGAATAGTTTGGCAACTGAATTGAAGGCAACTCTAGACTAATAAACTCAAAGTATTTACAAACCTGGACATTGACGCTGGAGTACTCAAACCTAAAATACATCTTTTTTTTTTTTTTAATTTTTTTTTTTCAACGTTTATTTATTTTTGGGACAGAGAGAGACAGAGCATGAACGGGCAAGGGGCAGAGAGAGAGGGAGACACAGAATCGGAAACAGGCTCCAGGCTCTGAGCCATCAGCCCAGAGCCTGACGCGGGGCTCGACCCGGACTGCGAGATCGTGACCTGGCTGAAGTCGGACGCTTAACCGACTGCGCCACCCAGGCGCCCCAAACCTAAAATACATCTTGAAGGCAATAATACCCGATGCAAGGGATCTGAATCAGTGGAGCAGTGCGTGAGAAAACAGGGTCTGAGGCAAGGATCCTGCATGCTTTGGCAGTATTTGTATTTCTAAATAGTCTTACTACGTATTTTCAACAGCCTCAGATTAATTTAAGTAAAAGGGCTTACAGATTTATCCCTTTTCCCCTAGGTAATTATAAACGAGGCCTTTTACAAAGGAACATTTCCTTTAAGCCTAACTTATGAGCTAGCTTTGTGAATAGGCCTCTGGGACTGGACACTCACTAGGCTTAAAACAATTCTATCTTGACTCCAAGTTCTGCACTGAACTTACCTGTGGGGACTCCTCCCCATGCCTTGGTAATCCTTGGCCCTCTACCTGGACATAGCACCTCAATCTAGCTAAGAGAACACAAATTCACCCCATGTTCCATCTGGAGACTAGGATTTCAGAGGTCAAGCTGAACAGAAACCATTCAGACAGCTTTGCTTTCTTCATGGATGTGACTGGTTTTCTATTTGAGAGCCTGGAATCACGAACGTAATTCATCAACACAAGGGGACCAGCCCTATAAAGGAGGAACAATCAAACATGCCGAGGTAACTGTAACTTCTACTCCATTCTTTTTGGTAGGTGTAGGAAACCCTTTTCTAAATTGAATCAAACGACTTGGCCTTCACCCACCTACCCAAACCTCCCCAGGAGTTTGGTCCCTGGTCTCCCAGGGACCAGAGTCCCAGGAGATTAACTGTATCCCCAAAAGTCTCTCAGGCTGGAATTTCCTAAGTGACTTCTTGTCCAGTCCTTGTAACCCTTGTATCAGGAGAGTGAGAAGCTCTCCTGATAGAGGCATCCTTGCTCCATGCTGATGGCTGGATACCAAAACTGTGGCTCTTGGTGCCAGGCTCCTGGTATATGCCATCTTGGGGACCCTGCACAGGACTGAGATAGGACCTTATATTTTCCCATAAAGTTCTTTATCCCTTTTCATCCAAAGAAAAAGCTTCACCATAAACTCACCTGAGCTGAAGACAGAAGTGTCCCAAATAGAGGGGATAAAATATCTGAGAAGACAAAATGTTTATGTCTAATAAATGATAAAAATCTGGTAAAAATCACAATTGATTTAGTCATGGACAGTCAAAATTTGGCTGAGAGAACAGTGAACTGAGCAATGACTACAAAACTAGACACTAATGCTCCCTAAAACTCAAGAGAAAATTTCTGAGCTATTTATTGAGTTTTAACAAAATACAACATAAAACTAAAACCTCCAACTTCAGAACACAATGACTGGTCAATTCTAGAAATTGCCAATAACGACAATAACGATATGTGTTGTTCTTTCCAGATTCTAGTTTTTATCTCCTTCAATAGTCAAGTCCCTCTCTGAGAAACCTCCCAACCCACGACTAGCAAGACCGTCTTCCGCAGCCTGAGAGCACCTACTTCCTCACCTACAACTCCAAGCTCTCATTTCTAGCATTCCAGCTCATCTCTAAGGGGTCCCACCTCAATCTTTCCAACTAGACTTCAAGTAAGATCAAAAAGGTCACTTCTCATAAACTGTACCAGGAGAGGAATTACACGGTCATTACCACCAACTGCCGCATTTGTACAGGACCTATTAGGCGCCAAGTACTGTTCTTATGTCCATGGTGTTGACAGTGGATTTTGTGGAGGTGGAGTTGGTCATTCCCCTTTTGCGGAGGGGTCATCTCCGCTTAGAAGGCTGTCCATGGCCACAGAGCTAGGAAGGGCCAGTCAGAATCTGAAGCCAGGCTGCTATCTGGCTTCAGCACTTGTACTCTTAACCATCAAACTGCCTGAGGATTATTTGACCCATGACTCATTTATTTGACCCATGCTTAGTGAGTCCTTCCTATCTGTCACGTTGTCAGCAACATGCTGGGGTACAAAGATTTCAGCAGTACCCTTAAGGAAGCTATCTTTACGAAAGAGGTATACACAAGGAATGTACTGCAATTTCTTGATGGCATCCCATATTTCGCCCCTCCTCGACTTTGAGAATTTGCTAGAATGCCTCAGAGAACTCAGGAAAGCGTGTTACTTACTAGACTACTAGGTTAGTATAAAAGGATACAACTCAGGAACAGCCAGATGAAAGATGCATAGAGCAAAGTATGGGGCAAGGGGTGTGTCCCATCCACCTCCATGTGTTCACCAACCTGGAAGCTCTCCAAACCTCTTCACAGGTTTTTTTTAAGATGGTGGCTTCATTAGACAGGCACGACCGATGAAATCATTGGCCATTAGTGATTAACGCCCGCCAGCCTCTCCCCACTTCCTTGGAGATAAGAGGCAGGACTCAAAGTTCCAACTTTAATGACACAGTTGGTTCCCCTTGGCAATCAGTCCTCTATTCTTAGGGCTTTCCAAAAGTCACCTCATTGACCCAGGAGTGATTGAAAGGGGCTTGTTACTAGTAACTGAAGACCCTTCCTTGACCTTTATTACTTTAGAGCTGTTGGAGGAGCCTGGGACAAAAACCAAGTACAACCAGGAACGAAGACCAAATACACCCACATCACAACATCACATAGAGACACCCTGGGAAATAAGCAAACCAAGCAAAAACTATCTTTGGATTCAGAACTGCAATCTATTTGCATGCTGGTGTTCTTTTTAATTATTCACCAGGAACCAAGACCTGGCTTCCAAGCAGTGGTTCTCAGACCTGACTGGGTATTAGAATCCCCTGAAAAGCTTCTTAAAAACACATCGCAGGTCCTGCTCCCAGAGTGGGACTCAATGAACCTGGGTGAAGCCCGAATTTGCATTAAGTTTTAGGAGATTCTACCACTGCTCACCCATGGACCAAAGAACTGCTGTCAAGCATTTGGTATTGCATTAAAGTAGTTAAGTTTCATCTTTACAAGTTCACACAATGTTTAGAATTGTCTAAATATTCCAACTGGATTGAGCAACACCCTGATTTCCTGACCCAAGGAAACAGCTTACAGTCAAACTAATGCATTTGCTTGTCAAAATGCTTTTTTCCCCTGAAAGTAGCTAAGACTGCTAACGAGGGTTCTTGGAGACCATTCTGGGTTACCCTCCTTGTTTTGCCATGGGGGACCCTCTTAAGTGCAGTTTGACAGCTCCTGGACACCCAGCATCCACTTACCCTTGATGTGGAGGGCTCCAGAGTTATCCTTTGGCTCAATGCCCGAGACTCTAGTGAGGTAAAATCGGAAGGGGTTCCCTTTATCCAACATGTCCCAAATGTCTTGGCCTTCCCCTGAAGTTTCATACTCCTCTTCCTCCTCCTCCAGCCTGTGGTGTGCAGGAGGGGTGGGATTTCCAGGTCTTTGGGCAGCACTGTCTTTAGAAGAGATGCCTCTCTCCTCTTTGACCACAATGTTCTTAGCCTGCTTCTGCTGGGTTTCTGGTTGCAGCTCATCATCGCTGCTAGAGAGACACCAACCTAGGTCTTCCTGGGAACCACTCCTTTGCCTTTTGGGAGGTGAAACTTCTGAAACTGAATCTGTGTTGCTGAATTTCACGGGTGATCTTTTCCTTCTATGGGCAGCTTTCCTAGCCTCGGAACAGGTGTATCTTGGCTCATTTGCTGCTCCCTGCCCAGCACGAGGGAGGGAAAAAGTAGAGGGCTTGTCTAGTTTTGGCTTTTCGTCTTCACTTTCATCACTACTGGATATTGTCCATTTTCCATAATCGCCTTCCTGAGACATAGTTCTGGAAATAAAAGACAAATACTGTTTTTCCATTCTCTAGGCCACTGACAAACTTGCTCTCAAATTCCCTGTCAGTATGAGTTTCTGCAACACGCACAGCACACTTGACACTTAGATGCTGAACCACATAACTAACATCAGCTGTTTTGCAGGTGTTCAGACACACATTACCAGATTTTGCTACAGGACTTTGGCAAATAAAGTGACAGCAAAAATCCTACTCACCTTCTCCTTTCAACCCAGACCTTGTCCTTGGAAGCCTGAGGAAAAGAGTGGGGGCCAAACTTCAAAAATCAAAATGTTCATTCTTGACCCTGAATCTTTTAAACTGGTGGGTGCTTGAGGTTAAGATAATTTAATGAATTTCAAGAGTAATTCTGACTATTCAAATTTTTGAGGTTAAATTGGAGTTTACAAATTTATCCTTCACCCAAGCATGGAGCCCACAGGACTTTAGCAATTCCTACTCCCCTAAAGCTACTTACCATTATGCTTAACAAAATTCTCAAGACCATGTCAAATGATCAATTCTGTATATACATTATATAGAATTACTACCATGAGGACCCAGCCATCATATTGACATTGACCTACATCAAACTATTAAAATCTGCAGAGAACTTATGCTGAAGCAAAACACTCCTTTACTCGACCAGAGTTGAATTTCTACCTTTTAAAAAATGTTTATTTTGAAAGAGAAAGGGGAAGAGAGAGACAGAAAGTGCACACACGTGAGGGAGGGGCAGAGAGGGAGGGAGAATCCCAAGCAGGCTTCACTGTCAGCATAAAGCCCAACTCCAGGCAGGCTCAATCTCACCAACCGTGAGATCACGACCTGAGTCAAAATTAACAGCCAGATGCTTAACTGACTGAGCCACCCAGGTGCCCCCAATTTCTATTTTAAGAGGAAAACATGTGAACTACTTTTGGTCTCGCTACCTACAAAATCTCACCAATTCACGTGTAAAGACCTATCTAAGTACATTTTCCAGATAGCTCAAGGACAGCTCCATAGTGGGTTCTTTTAAGAAAAACAAAAAACAAAACCATTCTCATACAAGACCCAAAGGAAAACTGAACCTAAGAGTCTGTGCTCAAATTGTCAACATTTCTCCTTTTAAGAAACTGAGGTCACATATCCAAGTAGAGTACACCAACATGGACTGTAGCACTCTGTTCACAGGACCCCCAGCCCTCCCCCCAAAATCCCCAAAACCTTAATTCTACACCAAAAAACTTGCAAATGAATATACTTGCAGGTTTCAAGCTCAAAAGGTTTAAGTAGGCCCTTAACCAAGGTGGGGCCCGAATCCATGACCCCAAGATCAAGAGTTGAGTGCTCTACCAAATGAGCCAGCCAGGTGGCTATCAAGCTGACATATTTAAGGTACTTATCACCTATCACAATTTTTTTAAATTTTTTTTGAGTGCACATGCACTCACATACACACGTGAGCAAGAGAGCAGCACAGAGAAGGGGACAGAGGATCTGAAAAGGATTCAGCACTGATAGGAGAGAGACCAATGTGGGGTTCAAACCCACGTGAGAACATGACCTGAGCTGAAGTCGATGCTCAACCCAACGAGCCACCCAAGTGCCTCTCATTTTTTCAATTAATGACCAGTTAAGCTAAGTTTCTCCTGTAAGTTACCTATTTGTGAGGTGTTTTTAAAGCAGAGTGCATTTGGGGCACCTGGGTGGCTCAGTCGGGTGAGCGTCCGACTTCGGCTCAGGTCATGATCTCGCAGTCTGTGAGTTCAAGCCCCGCATCGGGCTCTGGGCTGACAGCTCAGAGCCTGGAGCCTGCTTCATATTCTGGGTCTCTCTCTCTCTGCCTTCTCCCGCTCATGCTGTCTCTCAAAAATAAATAAACACTAAAAAAAAAAAATTAAAAACAAATAAAGCAGAGTGCATTTACACAATGATTTGACCTGTTCTTCAGGGCTCAGGGTACCTATTAATATCGCCTGCCATGGCTGTTTTACAAAGCCCCAGGGACTGCAGACCTCGCTTTGCTCTTGTACTAGTGGCCCTAGACTCAGAGTCTAAGCCTTTTGCTTTCCCAAAGTGTTCTGTCCAGCCTACTTCTACATTGTTAGAACTAAGAATAGGCTATGCCCCTAAATGGTTTCTATTCTGCTAAGAGTTAAGAAACCAGGGGCGCCTGGGTGGCTCAGTCGGTTAAGCATCTGGCTTCAGCTCAGGTCACGATCTCACAGTTCGTGAGTTCAAGCCCTGCATCAGGCTCTGTGCTGTCAGCTGAGAGTCCGGAGCCTGCTTCAGGTTCTGTGTCTCCCTCTCTCTCTGCTCCTCCCCCGCTCATGCTCTGTCTCTCTCTCCTTCAAAAAAAAAGTAAAAAAAAAAAAAAAAAAGAAACCAGATAACCAAACTTGTTAGAACTATTCAAGTTAACAGGATCTTAGCCATGCTTTCCTCCTGAAAGCTATTTAGAGAGACTTACTACCGAACACATTTAACCAGCTCAGACTTTTAAAATCTTGTTTTCATTTCTTTTAAACTTTGGTTTCTCTTGTGTTCTAGACTCTTGGAGGCTGCTGGATACAGGTATTTATGCTCTCACAATTCACTCTGAACTGAAGGAACTTTGAAGGAATGATTGTGGTGCCCAGTTTTATGACTTCAAAAAATGTAAGAATAGGACCACCTCCTTAGGAAGAACCGTTAGCTCTAGCTTTCAATGAATTCTCAAACAGCAGTAAAGCTAGGCACTTAGTAATAAAATCTTCAATTAAGAGTCCTCAGAGGCTGTTCTTTTTCAATTCCTTCTCATTCTAGAACAGAGTTTTTAGGTGAGAAAGGGTTCAGCTTCCAGCCTAAGTTGTATGCAGACACCTTAGAGCCTACAACTATTCCTCTCCCAGATGAATTACATCTAAATTAAGTGGAATTTAAGAGTCCAGAGAACTCTGTAGGGAAGATATTCCTCTTTAGTGACCCAGCTATTTTGAATCCTGAAGTGTTCTAGAAAAAACAGCTAAAACTGCAAACTTCAGGATTATTCTGATCTACTTTTTCTAGAACACGTGGAGGAAGGAGAAAGACCATTCCCCCAAAAGTAGGAGGAATAGATAAAGTTTTGAAAAAGACATTTCCTAAAAAAAAAAAAAAAAAAAAAAGTTTTTATCTGCTGTACACATGGTTTAAGTTTTGAATTGGCTCACACTCAAAAGTAGGAGCTGTTTATGGGGCACCTGGGTGGCTCAGTTGATTGAGCGTCCGACTTCAGCTCAGGTCATGATCTCGCGGTGAGTTCGAGCCCGCGTCAGACTCTGTGCTGACAGCTCAGAACCTGGAGCCTGCTTCGGATTCTGTGTCTACCTCTCTCTCTGCCCCTCCCCCGTTCGTGCTCCGTCTCTCTGTCAAAAATAAAATAAACATTAAAAAAAAATTTTTTTTTAAAAAGAACTGTTTAGTCATTAAAGGCAAAACACCTTTGGAATTAAAAAAAAAAAAACACGAAACATAACAAGTCATTACATCCAGCAGGTTACCAAGCTCTTCATGAAATCAAGGTGTTTAGCCTGATGATGAGGAGTGGTTGAAACTTCAAGAATTTACTTTGGAGGACTCAGTCTGGTTCCAGTATCAGAATTTTACTTCTCTGCCACACAGGCATTCTCTGAGCCATTTTTTATCAAGTTATAGTGTTACAAAGATAGAACTCAAGAGGAATCCTTCAATTGTTTATCGTTGGTCTTCCCTGGGCAGTGACCGGCACAGGTCTGACATCACAATTCGGGTAAATGGTGTCGCAGAAATGAGACAACTGCAATACAGATGGGCCAATTCTGAGACCCAACATTCACTCGGGTCTGCAAAGAGCAGGGTTTCCCGAAGTGAAGGTGACTGGGACGGACACCAACAACAGTAACATCACGTTATAAAAGTACTTCCCTTGGGGCACCTGTGTGGCCATGTTACCCATCCTACTCTGGACTTCGGCTCAGGTCATCCCACAGTTTGAGAGTTCGAACCCCTGGGCTCTGCATAGACAGTGCAGAGCCTGCCTGGGTTTCTTTCTCTCCCTCTCTGACCCTTCCCCTCTGCTCATGCATGCACGTGCTCACTCTCAAAAACGAACATTAAATCATAACTCAATAAACAAGTACCTCCCTTTTCCATTCCTGTCTCTTTGACAGAGTTGTAGTGTTGCAGAAATGCCTCAAGAGACTTTGGGCTCTTCTGCCCAGGACTTTTTTTTTTTTTTTTAAACCACAAAGTACCTTCTAACGTCATTTCATTTACACCAAAATAAAGCTTAGTTTTAAATATTCACGTGAAATTGTATTCTAATGCACACTTTCAACAACAGTGCTGGTATTACAAGGGAGACAAAAACTGGGGAGGGTGCAGGCAAACGTGTGACCAAAATACTGACGGAAATAGGGCAAACAGCATTAGGCTACATTGCCAAGGAGGATGAAAATCGCACATTCTCCCACCCAATGCTAACTGCGAACACTAGAGATTCTTATGGGGGGTGGGGAGGGCTGTGGACGCAAATGCATACTCCTCTCAAAGCTGCTAGCTCCTCCTCTCCACCCCCAACCCCACCACACCAGACCCAACTGGGGCCTATCTTTTCTGCACTCCAGCAGCTCCTTGCAGAATGTGCAGACCCTCAGGAGAGTATAGGGGTCAGGCTTCTCAACAAAGGCCCTGTGTGGCCACCCCTGGGCAAACATGGACCCCCATCTCAAATCCAGTCATTACTAGGTGGTCAATGTGCAATTGGGCAGGTTACTTTACTGCTGAGACAGTTTCCTCCTCCATAAAGTGTGTATCCATAAAGTGAGTATCATACAGACCTCCCAGAAGTCACTCGTACAACAGATCCTTATCGAACAGCTATTATAGGCCAAGCGCTGGGAATAACGAGTTAACACAAACTCTTTTTGCCCTACAAGGACTAATATTTGGGCGGGGGAAGAAGAAGAACCCAGAAAAAACAAGCTGTCTTTCCAGACACTCACAGCATTTTTCAAGTAGCAGAGAAAAACAGGGACATAATTACTTTGGAATACTCTCTGGATAAATAACACTTAAGTGAGATCTGGAGCATGAAAAAAACCCAGCGGAACAAAGGTGGTATTCCAAGTAGAGGGAATCCAACTTGACAAAGCCTGGAGGTGGGAACAAAGCTGTAATAGCTCCTAAAGCAGACAAAAGGCTTTGGGCAAAGCAGGCAGTAGTTCTGGATGAAGGGAGTGGGGAATTAAATCAAGTGTTAAAGATTCCAGATTTCAGTCTAAAGGGGGAGGGCCCATTGAAATGCTTTGATAAGCAGGGGGAGTACCATGGTACACCTTTTTTTTTTTTTTTAACATTTATTTTTGAAAGAGACACCAAGTGCAAGCGGGAGAGGAAGAGGGGGAGAGGAGAGGGGGGAGAGAGAAAAGAAAGTATCAGAAGCAGGCTCAGGCTCCGAGCTGTCAGCACAGAGCCCGACGCGGGCAAGATCACGATCCGAGCCGAAGTCGGACGCTTAACCGACTGAGTCACCCAGACGCCCCTCGACTTACCCTTTTAGTACACGACGTTCCCTAATTGGGGGTGAACAATTTGGAGACGAACCCCGGAGTGAGGCGGCCGAGGCGGTGGGGATGCAGTGAAACGGACTGATTCGGGGGACGCCGCGGCAGTAACGACAGAGGCTACCCCCTCCGTGCGCCGACCTCGGGCCAAGCACCCTTCGAAGCGCTCTGCCGGGAATAAACTCCGTTCGCGCTCGCACCAAGCCTCTGCGAAGTCCCGCGACTAACTGGCTCCATGGAGGGGGCAGCCGAGCCCAGGAAGGTTCAGGGCCTGACACAAGGTCAGAGCCCCCACGCACGCCAGCATCACCACCTGCGGACACCACCCACCTACCGCGGGGAGAAGCCGAAGTGAGAACCCGAGCGCTGGGACCCCTCACACCCACACTCCCCGCCGGACCCTGCTCTCCGCGGCGCCCAACAGGTTCTCGGATTGAGGAAGCCGAGGCCCGGGAGGGGACGTTCCCCAGGGTCTTGCCCAGCTACCTCCGCTTCTCCCAGATTCCACCTCCCGCCCCGCCGGGCCCCAGAATTCCCGGGACCAGAGCAGCCCCAGCACCGCGACCAGGCCGGAAGGAGCAGGGTCTCGCCGACCCGGCTCCCGCAGCAGTCGAACACGCACCTGAAACTTCCACGGCCCACAGCCACCAAGATCCGCGCCTTTTCAACCGCGGCGCGCGCCTGCGCGCGGTTTAAACCCTCCCGGCCGAGGCTCGCACCTCTTGGCCCTGCCCCTTCCCGTTCCGGGACGCCGGCCGCTGGGTCCTAAAGACCGCCGTGTCCTAAGGGACTACCGGAGCTTCCTGCACGAAGGGGTGGAAGGGAGCCCCCCCCCCCCCCCCCCGCAGCCTCCAGCTCTCGTCTCACCACTTGACCACTTGTCCTAAAAGGAAGAGAGAGAAAATTAAGTCTTCTCTCTCCTCTCTTAATTAACAAAACGCATCCCCTTTACAGGGGTTCTCATAGAGAGCTTCAGGCTGCCTGGAGCTCGAGGCAAGGGGTATTTACTTAAAGGTACAGGATCAGCTGAGGGCTGAGACCTGTGTCCTCGTAGGAGCGGGGGCTCGCTGGGACGCAAGCTTGTAAAACTTGCTGTAAAGGAAAAGGTTAAATGAGCTCCCATCACACTCAACCGCGAATGCCTGTTTCTTTGAAACAGGTGTGTGTTTAATCTTACTGGTTTGCCAGAACCGAGGTCTGAAACAAACTTTTGCAAAACGGAACACTCCCCATATTCCTTGAATATGTTTATGATAACTATTTTCAGAGTTTTTTTTTTCTTCTTTCAAACTAGGCACCGCTCCCAGAGGACTGAGTGAAAAACTCTGTGGAAACGTCCCAAGGACTTGGTTCGTTTACTCAACGTCTGCTTTGTGCCCGGCATCGTGCTAGGTGCGGGTTATTGGGAGGACAAAACAGACATAGTGACTACCCTGGAGGGCTCGACCCCAATCAATAGCCGATCCACACGTGAATCATGGACTTGTTTCTCTTTGGTTGCTTTTATGCTTTGTTCACATTTTTGTGTTTCCTATAATGCTATAATGTTATCCACAGTGCCATAGATAAAAATTACCAAAGTTACTTACTGCAAGGTGTGGGGGGCAGAAACATGGGAGGAATCCTGCAACAGACTTTGAAGCAGGACCTAGGTGAGCGGGAGGCCATCCGCGCGCGAGGAGTTAAGGGGGAAAGAATGGCGGAGCCAAGGCTGGGGGCGGGCTCCGGAGCCTCTCTGCCATAGGCTGTTCCAAGGAAACAGGCCTAAAGCCTCTGGCCAATAGGATTGCTGGATCAACGCCAGTGGCTAGCAGGTCGTCCAATGGGAGAGGACATTGGGGGTGTCCTGCCAAGTTCGGCTTCCTTAGCTGCGGGGAGCGTGGCCAGAGGTCTGCAGCTGCAGGTTCTGGCCTCGGAGGTCGCGGGTTCTGCTATCCCGATTCGGTTGTGGCGGTCGCGATGTTTTTTTCTGAGGCTGGGGCCCGACCACGGACGTGGGAAGCCAGCCCCTCAGAACACAAGAAGTGGGTGAAAGTAGGTGTCCGGAGAGCTGGTACTCGGATTCTAACTTGACCAAGAACTCTCATTTCCGTCACCTGCCTGGGTCTCACTCAGCTCGGTTGCACTGACAAGGAGTGAACTGGCCTTCTAAAGTGTCATAGTTAATGACTGAGCCTAGAGCTGCAAGGCTTCTCGCTCCCTGTCCAGTGTTCTGGCTATTTCCAAGTTCCTTCTTTTCCCCGCTACGTAGTCTATTAATAATAACCTCTACCCTGTATCTATCTCACCTTCCTAATTCTGGAACTGAATTTTAGGTAGAATTTACCCCAGTGGTTTTAATGAATTAATTTGCGTCAGTCTAGCGATTGATTAAGTCGTTTGCACTTTTGGGGGGTAAATTTTAGCTCATTAAGAATTTTGGAGAAGTAAAATTAGAATAATCAAACTCCATTGCCGAACCCTCCTGCTCAGCTGAGTTTTAGATTTTGGAGATCTACATAAACTACTAATAAAGATAATAGAACAAACGGTTTCCATCTAACTGAAGATATTTAATGTTCTTTAGGTGTTTAAAGCATGCGATGAAGATAACAAAGGCTATCTAAGCAGAGAGGACTTTAAAGTGGCTGTTGTAATGCTGTTTGGGTACAAGCCCACCAAGGTAGAGCTTTCTTCCTATATTTGGGAATGGGTGGACAATACAGTTGGGGTAGTTTGTAAGTAAAGCGCAGTGGCTAGTTTAGGATGTTTATAAGGAAATCCCTGCCTTTCAGAGCAATTTCAGAGATATGTCCAGTGCTGACTTTTAAGAACCTAACTCTGGGATGAGAGATGCCTGGCTGGTTCAGTCCAGTAAGTGTCCAACTTCCACTCAGGTCAGGATCTCATGGCTGGTGAGTTTGAGCCCCACGTCAGCTCTGTGCTGACAGCTCAGAGCAGAGCCTGGAGCCTGCTTCAGATTCTGTGTCCCTCTCTTGCTCTGCCCTTCCCCGGCTCATGCTCCAACAAACATTAAACAAAAATAAAAAAAATTAAGAACCTAACTCAGGGATGAATTCAAGTTCATGAAGCCAACGCACCACTGGTTACTAATAATAAGTACAAGATGCTAGGAAGGTGTCAAGACAGAAGGCTGGGGGAGGGCATTGGTAATAGGAGGAATTCATTTAAATTATAAAACATATATTTATATGGTCAAAAAATTCAAACAATCCAGGCAAAGTATGAAGTTGAATATAAAATCTCTTTGCTACCAAAGAGTCCCACTCCTCAGGGGTTATCATTTACAATTTTTTATGCATCATTCAAAATTTCCAGTGCATAACATGCTTGGCATTCTATTGAAAAAGTGGATGCATTGTATGCCTGTTTTATTTTGTTTATTTTCACTTAAGAGCACACACCACCATGTTTTACTGTGTTTTTTTTTAACTTTAATTTTTTTTCAGTTTATTTTGAGGGAGGGAGAGAGAATACCAAGCAGGCCACTCACCGTCAGCATGGAGCCCAACACAGGGCTCAAACCCACGAAGTATGAGATCATGACCTGAGCCGAAGCCAAAAGTCTGACACTTAACCAACTGAGCCACCCAGGCACCCCACACATACCATGTTTTAAAAAGTAGTTGCATAGTATTCTTTTTAGCCAGTTTCCTGTTTTTGGTCACTTAGATTGCCCCATTATTTTTCATTCCTACAAACGTTGTGATGAGCATCCTTTTATATGGCTATTGTGGATGTATATCTGTGGAATAAATTCCTGGAAGTACAATTGCTAGGTAATTTGAAGTTTTGTTGGATATTATTCTTCAGGAAAGTTTGCCTTCATTCACTAATAATGAGAGTTGAACTGAGCTTCAAGGAACGTCCTGCCTTAGGAGGGCAAATTTCCTGTTCCCCTTTGTCTTTGTGCTGCTCCCTTTGTTACATTCATTCTAAACATGGATCCCTCTTGTTAAGGTGCTGAACTGAAATTCATCAGAGACAAGATCTTGTCCAGGTTTAAGAAATTCATTTGCAGCCATCAAACAGAGGGCTCTGGAATGCCCTCCCTCGTGCCCTCCTTAAACCAAACAGCTTGGCAATCACTTTGGCCCAGCTGTTCCTCATGAGTGGGCTCTGCCTGTCAGATTACCAGCCCAGCAAAGCCAGGGACCAGGTGATGTCTCACGTCTCCGTCCTTCATTATGCTTGAATGTATTACCACTTCACGGTAAATAAGTTCTGCTGATACAAATATGTCCCATGAACGGATCAGGTGGGCTCAAGGTGGTTCACCTACTAGCAGATGCTTGGTTACTGAGAAGCTGATCACGGAGCTCGGAGTGGTAGTCAGGGCTGACTCCCAGAAATTGCAGCTCTCCTGTTAACCTGCAGGTATTTCAGCTAGAATTCCAAAGCAGGTCAGCTTAATGGGCCCAGCCTTTGAAGCATTGTATTTAACCTTGCTGGAAAGATAACTGGTTTCATTTTGCTTTGATCACCCTGGAGCCTACCTAATTGGCTTTAACGTTAGACTATAAATGAGGAATTGAATGACAAGTACAGTGATGCGCTCACATACATATATATGTACAGTTCATGAGATTTAACAGATTTTTACTTGTATTTTCATGCCTGGTTGAGGTTTGGTGGTTTTGTTGTTTTGTTTTTAAGAGTACTTGAGAAGGTGGGAGAAGGATAGGGGGAAGGAGAGAGAGAAATTCAAGCAGGGTTCATACCCAGGGTGGAGCACAATGGGGGGCTCAAACCCAGGACTCTTAGATCATGACCTGAGCCGAAATCAAGAGATGGACACTCAACCCACTGAGCCACCCAGGTGCCCCTTGGCTTTTATTTTTTAATCAAATGTCTTTTGACTACAAATAACTAAGCAGTAAAGTGATAGCAAGTCACCCGTACACCTGTCAATCGTTTGTATGTGTCAATCATTTTGTTAAATGACAAGGTACACCCTCTGTGAAATGTAGCAGATTTTTACTTTTATAGTGGGTTGAGGTTTGGGGTTTAATTTTATTTAATTTTAAAGATCTTATTTTTAAGTAATCCCTACATCCGACATTGGGCTTGAACTCACAACCTTGAGATCAAGAGCCGCACACTCCTGACTGAGCCAGCTAGGCACCCCTAGGGTTTTATTTTTCAATATTGCTTTTGAGCAAATGAAATATTTATTGAATGCATGGAATGTAATAAATCATTTATACACTCACGCAGTTGTTTACACAATGAAATCTATTAAGTGTTCCTGTTTAATAAAATGAACACTTGCTAGTTGCTGGAGATATAAAGACGAATAAAATATAGTCCCTGTTGTGAAGCAGTTCACGGTTTAGTGTAGAGAGACTTATAAAACTCTGTGATAAATACTGAGATGGAGAAGAACAGAAAGAACCCAAAGTGAAAGGGACAAGGAAGAGGGTCTTGAAATCCTAGTATAAAGTAGGAGTCTAGGCATCACTTAGACTGGAAGAGCTAGCTAGACTCTTCTGATATGAGGTGTCCAGAAGCACTTTGTGGTGTTGGGAGATGATCTGCCCTGATGACTTGATGTGGTTGGTGGTTAAGAGAGGGGTGTGAAACCAGGACTATAGCAATAGTGATGCCACCAATTAAGGAGTAGGCTTAGAGGAAAGTCAATGACTTCAGTTTGGGGCACATTAAGTTTGAGGAGGCTCTGAGCATCCTCAGTGAATTCATTCATTAAATATTATGCTGGTGTTGAGATTATGGTGGTAAAGATCGGCTCTCAGATTGTGCCACCGCTTGTAAATGTAGGAGTCTGGAACTGGGTGAGGAATTGAGAGGTAAGTGCTGGAGACAGTTTGTGGACTCTTCAGTTTACAGGTGCTAGATCATGAGCCTGGGTGGCATTGCCCCAAAACGGTGTTACACAGCGTGAAAGGCAGTGGATCACTGGGGGTACCGACAGTTAAGGGTAGGCAGGGGCAGGGGGAACCAGGAAAATGCAGGGCATGGAATCCAAGGTAGAGAAACTATGTCAGGTATTGCCAACTTTCTCATTCCATAATGTTTATAATGCCCTGGTAACAGTATAGGGAAGTGCTTATATTTTAATATATAGTGAAAGCAGTTTCCTGACACTTATATAGGGTATGTTCTGAAACATGTTTAAAAAGTCATAGGAGGGGCGCCTGGGTGGCTCAGTCGGTTAAGCGTCCGACTTCGGCTCAGGTCATGATCTCACGGTCCGTGAGTTCGAGCCCCACGTCGGGCTCTGTGCTGACAGCTCAGAGCCTGGAGCCTGCACAGGATTCTGTGTCTCCCTGTCTCTCTCTGACCCTCCCCCACTCATGCTCTGTCTCTCTCTGTCTCAAAAATAAATAAACGTTAAAAAAAATTTTTTTTTAAAGCCATAGGAAAAGAAAAATGCACACAAGGCCAAATGTTAATAGTGGTTATCATTGGACGGCTGTTTTTAAAAATGTTCTTCATAAAAAAAATGAATAAATAAAATTAAAAAAAAATGTTCTTCACGATCTTATATATTTTTTGTGTTTTCTACATATTACTTTCATAATCAGGAAAAAAGAGGTAAAAAACAAAGCCATAGAGCTCATTGCAACAATTGCTTGTATTTGTCTAAAATTGAAAAGTTACCTTTTAGGTCATGTGACAGCCAAGTTGATGGTATATGCTTAAACTATGTTGGTCAATGGAATAGTATTGGGGCCATTAGGGTCTGTAGCAGATTAGCATATTGTGTCATATAGGTATATAGATATTTCTTGCTTTAATGCCACTTAATTTTTTATTGATTTTTTTCAAAGATTTTTTTTTTTAAATACCAGTTCATTAACATAGAGTGTAACATTAGTTTCAACATTAGTTTCAATCACAATATAGTGATTCAACACTTCCCTACAACACCCAGTGCTCATCACAAGTGCCCTCCTTAATCCCCAATCACCTGTTTCACCCATACCCCCCCACCCTAGATACAGATGGAAGAATAAAATGACTATTACAGCTGTCTTGTCCTGTGATATTAGTTGTCTGCTGGACTCAACACAGTTTGTTTCTCATAAAATATAATCCTTCTCCACACCCCAGGAATTAAGAACTCCCACTGTGAAAACATTTGATGAAATTATATGTGCTTTTCTTTCTTCTTTTCTAGATAGAAGCTGATTCTGTGATGTCTTCAGTAAATCCAAACACTTCTGGTAATATGAAAGTTAATATTAATTTTTAGACTTCATAAAATCAAAATTAAGAACAAAAATAGAGACTATAAAGCACATCTTTGTCTTGTTCTGTTTCAAAGAAAGATTTTGGTTCTTTAATGTATTCATAAGTGTAATAGGATGTTTATTGTAGGGAAGTTTGAAACCATTGAAAAGCATAAAGAAAAAAATGTTGCTTGTAATGTGAACATCCAACTGTTGATCAGTATTTTCTGACTTAGATGAACAGAAGTGGCACTTTACTAAAATGGAAAGACTTAGGAGAAGGTTTGGGGTTGGGGGAGAGCCAGAGTTCACGTCTGAAAATGCTATGTTTGAAAAATTTCAATCTGTGATATCCGGGCATTCAGGCTGCGTGAATACGGAATTCAGAGGAAAGCTGTGGGCTGGAGAAATAAATTTGGGAGCCGTTCGCATGTAGATGGTGTTTGAAGCCCTGGGGATGGATAAGATGACCTAGCAAGACAGAGTGGAAGGAGAACCTTCAGGAACCACAATCATTTGAAGTCAGGGAGAGAGTTAGGAAATGGCAGAGGAAGTTAGAGGCGGGGAGGGGCAGGAGGAAAGTCAAAGGTATCTGATCCAAAACAAGGAGAAGGGGATTATTTCCAGGAAGAGGGTGTGGTCAACACCTTGGAAAGGTCAGGTAGGTAGTAACTGAAGTGTCCCTTGGGGTTGGCGACCTGCAAGACGGGTTTCGGTACCTGGTGACGGCAGAGGCCAGGCTGGAGTGGTCAAAGGCAAACCAAACCTTGAGAAAGTGTGACAGTGTAAGCAGAAGTCTTTCAGTAAGTCCAGAGTGCCTGGGGATCAGGAGTGGTTTTTTTGTTTTTTGTTTTTGTTTTTTTGCACATGAAGATGTTTCTGAGCTTAGCAGAATGGTCTAATGAAGAGGGAAAAGGAAGATGAGACAGACAGAGGAGTACCTGTTGTTTTGGAGATAGGGGCCAGAACATGTTGGATTGGCTTTTTAAAAATTACCTTTTTGGGGAAATAATTTAGCGCTTACAAAAAACTGCAAAATAAAAATAACACCGAGAGCTGTATACTGTTTACCTCGATGCACTTACTGTTGACATTTTAACCCTTTGGCCCTTTCTACCACTATCCCCTCCTCTCACTGCTCTGAACCTAAAACCACAGCACACTTACCGTAAACTTAGACTGATATTGTATTTTTGTCTCATTTACTGTTTATATTCCGGTACTGTCATTTGATCTGATAATGTCCTTAAACACATCATCCCTCATCTAATACAGGAATTAGTCTTGGGTGCCATGTCTCTTTAGACTCCTTTCATCTGGAACATTTCTGTAGACTTTTTTTTTTCTTGGCTTTTTATAACATGGAAATTTTGAGGAACTAGCCCAGCCCTCACTATTAGTTTTTTTTTTTCAATATATGAAGTTTATTGTCAAATTGGTTTCCATACAACACCCAGGGCTCACCCCAAATGGTGCCCTCCTCAATACCCATCACCCACCCTCCCCTCCCTCCTACCCCCCATCAGCCCTCAGTTTGTTCTCAGTTTTTAAGAGTCTCTTATGCTTTGGCTCTCTTCCGCTCTAACCTCTTTTTTTTTTTTTTTTCCTTCCCCTCCCCCATGGGTTTCTGTTAAGTTTCTCAGGATCCACATAAGAATGAAACCATATGGTATCTTTCTCTGTATGGCTTATTTCACTTAGCATAACACTCTCCAGTTCCATCCATGTTGCTACAAAGGGCCATATTTCATGCTTTCTCATTGCCACGTAGGACTCCATTGTGTATATAAACCACAATTTTTTTTATCCATTCATCAGTTGATGGACATTTAGGCTCTTTCCATAATTTGGCTATTGTTGAGAGTGCTGCTATAAACATTGGGGCACAAGTGCCCCTATGCATCAGTACTCCTGTATCCCTTGGGTAAATTCCTAGCAGTGCTATTGCTGGGTCATAGGGTAGGTCTATTTTCAATTTTTTGAGGAACCTCCACACTGTTTTCCAGAGTGGCTGCACCAATTTGCATTCCCACCAACAGTGCAAGAGGGTTCCCATTTCTCCACATCCTCTCCAGCATCTATAGTCTCCTGATTTGTTCATTTTGGCCACTCTGACTGGCGTGAGGTGATATCTGAGTGTGGTTTTGATTTGTATTTCCCTGATGAGGAGTGACGTTGAGCATCTTTTCATGTGCCTGTTGGCCATCCGGATGTCTTCTTTAGAGAAGTGTCTATTCATGTTTTCTGCCCATTTCTTCACTGGATTATTTGTTTTTCGGGTGTGGAGTTTGGTGAGCTCTTTATAGATTTTGGATACTAGCCCTTTGTCCGATATGTCATTTGCAAATATCTTTTCCCATTCCGTTGGTTGCCTTTTAGTTTTGTTGGTTGTTTCCTTTGCTGTGCAGAAGCTTTTTATCTTCATAAGGTCCCAGTAGTTCATTTTTGCCTTTAATTCCCTTGCCTTTGGATGTGTCAAGTAAGAAATTGCTACAGCTGAGATCAGAGAGGTCTTTTCCTGCTTTCTCCTCTAGGGTTTTGATGGTTTCCTGTCTCACATTCAGGCCCTTTATCCATTTTGAGTTTATTTTTGTGAATGGTGTGAGAAAGTGGTCTAGTTTCAACCTTCTGCATGTTGCTGTCCAGTTCTCCCAGCACCATTTGTTAAAGAGACTGTCTTTTTTCCATTGGATATTCTTTCCTGCTTTGTCAAAGATGAGTTGGCCATACGTTTGTGGGTCTAGTTCTGGGGTTTGTATTCTATTCCATTGGTCTATGTGTCTGTTTTTGTGCCAATACCATGCTGTCTTGATGATGACAGCTTTGTAGTAGAGGCTAAAGTCTGGGATTGTGATGCCTCCTGCTTTGGTCTTCTTCTTCAAAATTACTTTGGCTATTCAGGGCCTATTGTGGTTCCATATGAATTTTCGGATTGCTTGTTCTAGTTTCTAGAAGAATGCTGGTGCAATTTTGATTGGGATTGCATTGAATGTGTAGATAGCTTTGGGTAGTATTGACGTTTTGACAATATTTATTCTTCCATTCCATGAGCACGGAATGTTTTTCCATTTCTTTATATCTTCTTCAATTTCCTTCATAAGCTTTCTATAGTTTTCAGCATACAGATCTTTTACATCTTTGGTTAGATTTATTCCTAGGTATTTTATGCTTCTTGGTGCAATTGTGAATGGGATCAGTTTCTTTATTTGTCTTTCTGTTGCTTCATTATTAGTGTATAAGTATGCAACTGATTTCTGTACATTGATTTTGTATCCTGCGACTTTGCTAAATTCATGTATCAGTTCTAGCAGACTTCTGGTGGAGTCTATCAGATTTTCCATGTATAATATCATGTCATCTGCAAAAAGAAAACGTAACTTCATCTTTGCCAATTTTGATGCCTTTGATTTCCTTTTGTTGTCTGATTGCTGATGCTAGAACTTCCAACGCTATGTTAAACAACAGCGGTGAGAGTGGACATCCCTGTCGTGTTCCTGATATCAGGGAAAAAGCTCTCAGTTTTTCCCCCTTGAAGATGATGTTAGCTGTGGGCTTTTCATAAATGGCTTTTATGATTTTTAAGTATGTTCCTTCTATCCCGACTTTCTCGAGGGTTTTTATTAAGAAAGGTTGCTGAATTTTGTCAAAGGCCTTCACTATTAGATTTTTAAGAATGGTCCTTGTTTTGTGTTTGCCTGATGTTGGGGTTAAGCATTCTGAGCTAGAATACCGTTTAGGTGGCCTGTCCCTCATTGGGGGCCACGTCTGGAGGCCCACAGTGACCATCTGTCTCTCATAGATGGTATTAATTTTTGCCACTAGGGAAGACGTCCAGTTTCTCCAATGTATTCTGTTTATCTTTTCTTCCCTTGCAACTAACAAGCGGTGTGTGGAGAGACACATTGAAGACATTGCAAATATTTTCCTTCTCATCAAAATTTGCCCCTAGATTTGGTAACTGTTCATGACTCTTGTCTGACCCAGTTTTTGTCATAACAGTTGCAAAATAAGGATTTTCTAATCCTAGTGCTTCAGTTAAACCTTGGCTATAAGCAGGAGACCTCCCTTTTTCTTGATCAATCCATTTGTTTATTATCAGCACAGACTCATGAATTGCATGTTTTTTAATGATTTATACTCCATTAATTATCATTAATTATTTTAGTTTTCACCTTGTCACAGACTTGGGCATTGAATGCCTCCTCAAGTTGGCTCCTGTGTCCTTTTGACCGGTTTGGCTTTTTCTTTCTTTGAACAAATCTTTTTATTTATAAATGGTAGATTTACAAAAGAGTTTACTGGATTCCTTTTTTGTATGCAAGGTTCAGTACCCCATATGGACCATGACTCTTAGAACAATATTATTGCTAGGAGAACGTGTTTTTGACAAACTCCCTAACTTGATGGAATTTCCCTTTTAACTCAAAATGCTCAAATATTGTGTCTGTAATGTTCAATTCATTGTAACTTCCTTTTTTAAAAAGAGTTTATTTATTTATTTTGAGAGAGAGAGAGAGAGAGAGAGAATGAGGGCACGAGCGAGCAGGGGAGGGGCAAAGAGAGAGGAAGAGGATCCCAAGCAGGCTCCACACCCAGCCCAGTTCAGAGCCTGGCTTGGGGGTCGATCCCACAACCGTGAGACTATGACCTGAACCAAAATCAAAAGTCAGACGCTCAACTGACTGAGCCACCCAGGCGCCCCAGTTGTAACTTTTTTTTTTTAACATTTATTTATTTTTGAGAGACAGAGATAGAGCACGAGTGGGGGAGGGGCAGAGAGAGAGAGAGAGAGAGAGAGAGGGAGAGAGAGGGAGGCACAGAATCTGAAGCAGGCTTCAGGCTCTGAGCTGTGAGCACAGAGCGCAATGCGGGGCTTGAACTCATGAACTGTGCGATCATGACCTGAGATGAAGTCGGATGCTTAACTGACTTAGCCACCCAGGTGCCCCTGTAACTTCTTCATGATGCCTTCCCTACATATTTTCCTCTGGATT